CATTTTTTAAAATAGAATGAACATTCCTTATAATGCCTTCAGTTTTCAGGTGGTCTGTTACATTAAATTTAGATAATGCCTCATTCCGTTCCTTGATAATTAACTTTAAATTATCAGTAAGCCAAGGAGCTGGTGGTTTACCGAGGGTAGATGTTCATTGAAAAGCATAGTTACGAGGATGAATCAAATATAAACGGGATTTTTTTCCTGAACATTTACGGTTGGCAGGAGTGAGTGCGCGCTTCGTGTATGCTTGGGTGAGGTCACTGGGAGTCGGAAGAGCCAGTCATTTCAGATCCCAAACCTCTTTGTCAGTAGCTATCGCGGTGTCCGAGCAAAAAGTACACCCTTCTACTGCGCAACGCATTATTATAAAATTTTTCGCTCGTGAAGGAGTTCAGGCGACGGATATTTTTCGAAGATAAAGTGCTCAGTTATGTCGCTTAAGGAAGCGTTAGGAGGGCAACGATTTGACGATGACCCAGGTGTGGAGGAGTTCGTGCGCAATTGGCTGCTGACCCAACCAGTTTCATTTTACGATGCTGGGATAAAAACCTTCCCGTGCGCTGGGAAAAATGCATTTCTAAAGGCGGCGACTATGTAGAAAAATAACTTATTTTTGTCTTTCATCGTTTAATAAATACAATTGATTAAAAAAAAATCCCGTTTATATTTGATTCACCCTCGTATATTGTCAGTTAAGTAGCCGACCTTGTCATTAATATTATCAATGAAGAATATACCATCCCAGTAAATTGCTTGTAAATCACTTTTAAATTTTTCAATATTTAGATTCTTAAATTTACTTTTAGTAAGGAATTTCTGTCTGGATTTATTGATATGATATATTTAGTGTGCAATGAGGCATATTATACTCACTCAAGTGAAAGGGGATGGTGACACTGTCTTGACAAATGTCTTTGCAATTAATAAAGATGGGATCTAGTAATGTGGCCAACTTTCAGAAATACGAGTTGGCTCAGTAATAACATTAACATAGCCATAAGCTTCAAGTAAATTTAGGGTAGAGTTAGGTACTAACATATCTATGTTCAAATCACCAGTGATAATAGAGTAAGCTAATTCAGAAAGCAAAAAAGGAATTGAATCATTAAAAAGATTAGAGAGTTCAGTGAGGCCCCAGTCCTACGGACGATATATGACTGCCAGAAAAAGTTTATGCACATTGTTTTTCAGTTTTAGAAATATAATTGATATTATTTAAATCAAGATCAATAACCTCGCAATTGATATGTGATTTTACATAGCACGCTACACCACCACCTATTCTGTTTGGCCAATCTTTTCTGTAAAAATTGTATCCTGGCAGGGATACCATACTAGAATCAACGTCACCATTCAACCATGTTTCATTAATACATATAATATCATATTGATCTTGTATAAAATAAGAAAAATCAGTAAAACTTGAAAGTAATGATCTCATATTCAAATCATTGTTAAGTAACTACCAGTAAATTGTTTTATTCTTGAGTAGTACCCATAGAAATAGTATAGAAAGCCGATTCCATATATCAAAAATGAAACCATAAGGAGAAAATAGTGTGTCGGAGCTCATGCGTATAACGGTGCTGGCGCGAACAGGACCGGTTTAAGTTTTTTATTGATCGAACAAATAGTTCACACGATATTTCAATCATACATTTTTAGAGATGATTCTATACAAAAAACGATTAAAAAAATTTCAAGTGAAGGTAAATATGGTTCTGACAGTCCTTATTAAGAAAGGTATGGCATAAAATATGAATTAGTTAATTTTCGGCAATCATTAGTACAGTAGTCATGAGATTTTGCTTGTGATTTTAAAAATACTTTCCAGAAAAACCACGTGCTCCGGTTTTGACTACGTTTATTATTAAACAGCGAAATTATATACAAAAACTTTAATCCACAATCTAAATTAGGTACTATCACAAAAAAGTCACTGTTACAATAATTATTTAATTACTTAACCAAAAACTAAAATACTTTTTAGGTACCTACGTAACCAGAAAGGAGCTGGACCATTTATCCTAATATTGATTTTCTCTCTCCCTACGGTAAAACTTAAAACAATAACAAATTGCCTATCTACTAGGGTCGGTAACTAAACGTATATACATAATGGGCGGATTTTGTTTATACTTAACATTACACTCGCGCATTTAAATATAACTATGCATATAAATATTTACAAACAAAGATACTTTTCCAAACAGGCAATCATTAGTACTGTAGTCACAAGATTTGACATCTTATTTGATAATATCATTTGCTACAACTAAATTTAATCTGGGAAGTGCAAAATAGGGCCCAAGAATATTATGTTCGATATTTTTTTACATTTTGTCAGCCGAGACTATGAGTCGTTAGACAGAAAACCTTTCATGTTACCATTTTCAATATAAATTAAAAAATATTACTACATTTACTTGGTACATATTTTATTTTAATTTTGAACCCTTTTAAAAGGGTCTTTCGGTTCCATAATAAAAATTAGTTGCTGCTTACTAGAAACATTCTATATAGCCTAAACCAATTTATAGTTTGTTTTCGATCAATTTAATACAAAGATTTAAAGTTTTTAGTCGATGATAACATTCCACACCAGCACATTGCAAACCTATTTTATAAATAATAGGAATAAACTTGTAAATCATTAATTTGGTAGTTATCTCACTCATATGATTTTTTTGTTTATATGACTATTTCGATTTCTAAATATATTTTGGCCTTACAATGCGAAGCGTTTTGTATCTACCACTTTTTTAATGAACGATGAATGTTGACAGGCGTGTACCTTTTTCGGAACAAGAGGCGTTTTAACGAAGGAAATGATTTTCGAACTATCTAGTTAGTTTTCGGAAAAATAGAAAACGTTTGAAGAAAGTTGTCATTAACAGTTTGTCGTTCATGTGTTTCATTTTGATCAGCTTTCATACTAAATTGCGTAGAATATTTTTCCGATTCAAAATCGAGATTCTCGATATTTCCACAGTTTATTTATAATACCTTCTAAACTGGATTTATCTATCATTTTATATACTTTATAATATATGTTCATGCCCTACTTTTCACTTTATTAACAATTTTTTTTTAACATACTTCAAAATGGTAGGATATTCTCAATTCGTTGAAATATTTTTTTATGTTGAGCGATAATTCTTTACCACGTTGCCCGATTTCTTGGATTCTTTTTGTTAGAAAAGGAAACAGTTTTATATACATTAAGTCAAGATCTGAAGATGGGATCCATAAGAAAATAATTAACATCTTTATTTTTAAAGTAGGTTTTTTTTTTAATTTCTTTAAACCTTACTGGTTCGAACGCGGTAAGGAATGAAGAAATGTAAATAATTGTTGTGCCAGCCAAAAACCGAAGAGGAAGTACCGATTAAAATATCGAGTGACAGAAGAGTTCCTAAGATTGTTGAGATCGGGTTTATTTTTAAAATGCCTTAAAACCGATATCGATAATGTCTCCCCGTCGCGTAAATATACAGCTCTCTATTTACATAATTATAATTCTTAGGTAGGTTTAGATTTGCAGACATAAATCTTGTAATAAATATAACAGCTGCCTAATACATTGATTACATTTTCATTAGCCAATGTAAAAATGTCTTTTATTGTACCTAGGATTTGACTAAACACTACACAAAACTAAAAATAAAATGCCACTTTCATCGTGTAATAATTAATGCCGCGTTTGAGAATCCACATCGGATGCATTTTTTACATCTCGAGCGTTTTTTATCCACATCGGACACATCTGTGCCATTACATTTACGTATACTGAATCACGTGATCAAAGATTTACTACTTACTACATCTCAGATGCATCCGATGTGGATTCTCAAACGCGGCATAAATAATAAACTACAAACGGTCCTGTAAGGGCAGCGTCATATAGCCTTGAAACACCGGATTTTAGTGCTATTGCCAGGTCAATATTGAATTTGTAGGTGAATCGCTTATTGAACATTAAAAATACGGTATTAATGACATTAATACGGTATTTGTATATATTTTTGGGAATGTAATTACACATAAATATTATTAGTTGATTATTTAAATGTGTATAAGTTATTTTGTGGCGATATTTCGTAGATATAAACTGTTTAAATCATATAATTTAAAAATTAATTAATTTAAAATTCTTTTCTGTTAGGTATATTTAATATATTTGGCAACACTACAGGGACAAGTCATGCATATTGCGCAAGCTTCTAGACACACTATTTTGCGATGTCAGGCGCAGAGACGCGTTTTTATGCACAGTAGGTTTCAATTTCTGCTTAAATGTTATGTTTATATTGGTCTTCTATATTATTTCTATGGTAGTACCTGTTTAAAGTATTTAAGAATTTTACATCTCTAGAGTTCCAGGTGGTTCCAGTGTTGCACTGGATTTTAGAGATTGATTTTACGAATTTGTAACTACCCAACTCTAAATTTACAGGATATAACCGAACTTCGATTTTCGTTCAAGGACGACTCAGCTGAGATTGGTTTATACTTTCGAATTAGGCCCCCGAAAGGTGGCGCCATCTACCGGCGGATTTTGAAGCAATAAATCTGAAGCCCTGTAGGTGCACTACTAAATGAGAATTCCCTATTCAAGAAATTGTCCGATTTTGTAGATTTTTTGTCACAAAAACGCCCGCACACTACTACTGGGGCAAATGCCTCTTTGGTTGCAATCTGCTTATTTTAAGCAAATTATATTTAGATTTTTTTGAGACATCGTGACTATTGTAATCTGTCGTTCATAAAATGACGTATCTAAACTTATCCCAAGGCCGTGAACGCTCTTGCCCCACCTTACCTTAATGCATATTTGAAATCAATTTGAATTTTTTTTTTTTTATTATAATAATAATTTCACAAATCGTACTTAAAATATAAATTAAATAACATAAAAAACACGTTTATTAATATTTTCCATAGCAAAAAAAGCGATCCTATAAGCAAAAGCCATTTCATTCACATCTTCTTACCTCTGGGATTCCATGGGCTCATCGGGTGGCGGCCTCTTCTGGGGTCTTCCGCTAGAAGAAGGAGTTCCAAACACCAAACTCTTCAGATAATCAAACAACCCAAATATGGGCGACAGGAGGCTGTATATCAACGCAGTTAAGCTGCCTCCTGGATTACTGGCGACCGGTCCGCTGTTTTGGGGCAATATCAGTATCACAGCGGTAGGACTAAGCTGCAAGTCAACCAGCGTTTGCGAGTAATCGTTTTTGGTGAATTCTCTTCGCGGAAACACAGTAGACAATGTAAAATTGCTAAACGGTAAGGGTAAGTTCGATTTAATATAACAGATGACGATGTCCAAGGTGTCTGAATTCTCAAATTCGTGCGTGCTTGATGACCCGTCGGGCAATTTGAATTGAAGGCGGGTTGTGTTCGAGGTCACTTTCGGCGGAGATTGGGATTGAGGCGCCGATTTCGATGATTCTGGAGCGGAAGGTGGGGAACTGGATTGGGACCTGGATAATCTTTCGGCGCGATCTTGGGCTATCTGCGCCAAAACCCGTTCTCTGGCTTGTTGGTTTTCGCGTTTTTCACGTTCCCTTTCTTCTTTGAGTTGCTTCATTTCCTGATCTTCTTGCCATTTCTTTAATTGTTGGACGTTTGCGCCCATTTTGCGACGCTCCAGTTCTTTCTGTCTTTCGCTCTAAAAATATCGAATTAAATTGAATTTTTTAAGATTTAATACTTCATTAAAATAGTATTTTATATATATATAAAAAAAAAACAGATCTCGTGCTATAATAAAAATGTAATTACCTCTTTCTCTTCTTGCTCTTTTTGTTGCCTTCTCAACTCTAGTAATTCCTTAGCCCTCTGTACTTTCTCATCAGCCGATAAGTCTAGAGAATCATCAGGTATTTCATCTTTCTTTTCCTCTTCTTTCTTTTCCTCTACTAGTTTAACTAGTTGACTTTCATCTTCTTTTTCTTCTATATTTTCTTTTAGCATTTCATCGTTATTTGAATTTTCTTTTTCTTTATTTAGTAATACTTCACTGTTTATGGTTTTAGCTGAATCATCTTCAGGACTTTTGTTATCAACAATTTTACAAACCTCAGTATCACATACAACTTTTGGATTATCCGCCGCAGCCAATTCGTTTTTAATAAAATTATCGGATGAAACTGATCCTAAAATAAAGAAACATGTATCCGAATATTATATTTAAATGAAGAAGAAATTACCTGAAACGCCAGAAATGTGGTGAACATTTACTCCTGCTTTTGATAATGTGTTATCGATCTTTTGGCATATGTTATCTAAATTATCTTTTCCTGTAATGATGTCTAAAGGAACTCCATTTTTGCCAATAAGATAGATTGAGGGAATGGTTGGTCCCTTATCTACATTTTTGTTAAGAATAAAATAGAATCATTTTAGGCTGGTTAAGTGTCCCCTTGACATTAGCGAGAATATGTTATTCAAATATTTAAAAGGATAGTTGATCACTGTTAAGTGATAACGGCCATTAAGAACCTTGCTGCAAGATGACAGCTCCATTTTTGTTAACTTGCCTCTTATTAAAAAAAAAACATTCTAATTAAATGGTGATATTAACATGTAACTTACAACTTCCTTCTTGGTGATATATCTTGGTTTAAAAGAAAAAAATGAAAAAATTGGATCAGCTCCTGTCTTGCACAAAAAAATTAAAAAAAAAGAAGGTATTCTTTACCTTATTATAAAAGTAAAAAAGTTTAATATTTTTGTGTGTATAGCCAAAACTATATGATTTTTTTTAAATATTGTGACGCGGAGCCAACCCTATGTAAGCGCGACCTTGGAAATGAGTCATGATCAAAGCAACGCTGACGTATGAAGATAGTCGGACCGCGTCTCGAATATACAGGAAACGATGGAATCTTCTAGGTATTCCGCTGACGCTTTGAGAAACTGCCGTTGAGTCATAGAGATGGAATTTTCGGGAGCGTCTAGAAACTACGAGCACAGAATTGGCTTGCTATAAATAATCGACTTATCGGCGATCAGTTTAGTTTAGAGTATTGTAATGAAAAGTTAAAGTGTAATAAATAAATTAGAATTGTTAGTTAGTGTCTAAGTATTATATAAATTAATTAGTACGTCTTAAATAAATAGTAAATAGTGTGTTTTAAATAAATAAACTATAAATAAATTAGACTATAGTCACAATATGTTTTCACAGCAATATGTATATCAGAAAAGGCAACAATTTAAAAATATATTTAATTATACAGGGGTAGAGTTTCTGCCTGCAAATGCAAGGGTCCCAGGTTCGAATCCTACCGTTGGCAGAGATTTTTTCATTTAATTTAATTATTTAAAATTAATTCTGATGCCTTGGTAGGATTCCCCACTCAACCATTCACTGTTGGGTTCTAATTAACAGTGCTTCCCCTGTACAGATTTGTTTCTAATTGAAAAAAGTAATGCGTCGGCATAAATTGTGGCTAATATGCAAAACCTTTTACCGCAAAAAAATGGTATTACGATTTTCATATAAAACTAGTTGTAGCGTGTGAAATACCCTGTGTAATCTCATACTATTTGGTATTGTTACAATAGGAAAAGCAAGGGCAATTTAAATATAAAATAAAATAAAAAACCTAAATTTGATATGTATCACTTTTATGGGGAACCCTGTATAATTGAAATCATTTTTAAATTGTTGTCTTCCCTGATATACATCTTGCTGTGAAAACAGATTTAAAAAAATCAAATAGTTTTGGCTTCACAGACCGAGGCGATAGTAATGGCCCACCTTGTATAAAATAAAATGGAGCTGTTCCTTTCTTGCAATAAGGTCCTCAATTGTTATATGTGCCAAATTAGTGTAACGACAGTGAACCAAACAATAAGTTTTACAAAAATGTATTAAGTATTTTTTTAATACATTGTTTGTAGGCCTAAAAAAGGAGTAAAGGTATGTAAGGGCAGTGGCGTACTACTGCGTCCTCAGCCACGACCAAGTTTAACAAGAAAATGTTTTTCTGCAGAAGACAATTTGTTTTTTGGATGCAGAAAACGACTGGAAAATGACTAGTGTGATACAATAATGAACATATCAATGAACATAATGATGAATATATATATAACAATGAAAGTAATAATGAACATAACTACATACCAATGAACATAACAATGTACATACCAATGAACATAACAATGTACATGACACTGAATATAATTTTATGGAGAATTCAGCAATATGATTATTCATTGCCTTACTTTTGATTTTAGCGTCCTCTAGCGGGACAAAAAACTGTTACATATTGTAAAGTAAGACACTTCAATTGAATTCTAATTTTATTAATAATTTAATAAAAATAATGAATGGTCAAATGATTCCAGTACTTTGTTCTAAGAAATTGAAATTTAAATGATTAATTTGGTTGTATTTTGGGTGGGTAAATGAAAATAATGAGTGGACTAATGATTGTTGTATTTAATTTGAATTAAATCCTCTTAATAAAGAACATGCTGAATTATTTTTTTTTTTTTTTAAGTAAAACTTACGGTTCGCCCTGGCATGAAAAATTTGAGGAGTGAATTGATCAAAACGACATATATCGATGTCCCGATACCTCGATAGCCTAGTCCCCACTTAAAGTCCCTTTCAAACTGTGTACGATCGTCTTTAGTGCATATTTGTGTACACGGATTTTATTTGTCCTTTTTGATTTCAGAGTGAATTCCCCAAAGAAGTTTTGCTTCTCTTGTGTGTTCGATAACATACTCTTTTTTTGTTTTTTAAATATCTCACTTCGGTGGACAAAAAGTGGACATCTGAATACCACTTTGAAATTGAAGCCCTTGGTGTAAAAAGGATGCAAGCCACAATTTGTCGTGAAGTTACTGTTTTAGTTCAAAACATCTGTTAACAAGGATACTAGCCACATACCATTTTTTTATACCTCTAATCCAAAAGATGATGCTATTTTTTGTAACATTTATATTTAAATATTTTTTTTATTTATATTTAACAGATTTAAAACACAATTTTCTCAAAACTTACGATGTGGCATGTAATCTTATTACACCAAAGTCTTCAATGAATAAAAAGTGTTTATGACAGTGAGATAACTATTTTTGAAAAGCTGGACAATCCAAATTCTTTGTAGGACAAAAGTGGAAAAATAATGACTATATTTTAAAAAAATTCGCATTTAGCAATCCTAATTTCATGGACCTATTCTTTATATTTGTCACAATTGTATTAAGGATGGGGTGTCTGTTTAGAAAAAAATATATAAAAATAAATAAAGATTTTGATAAAAACACTTTTTTAAACGTTTTAGAAGAAAAGTTAAAAAATATCAATAACCATAAAAAAAAACGTTCATTTTGGAAGACTTTAATATTAACTATTTAGATAAAAATGATATGTGCAAAAGAAACCTAATTGATACTAAATTTTATTAATTTAAATGATAGCATTCTAACTAGAGTGCAGAATAATTCAAGAACTTTAATTGATTATGTTTTGTTAGATGATACTCCAGTAATTTGACTGTTATTGATTACTGTTTAAGAGATCATAGAATACAGATATTGCAAGAAAAACAATGCAATTCAATTAGCAATGAAAAATATTATAAATGTTTTAAGTTAAATAAGTTAGTATAAAAGTTGTCCATAGTTTAAAATTCATTTGCATAACCTAATCAAGCACAGAGATACATGTTATAAAAGGCATAAGTTTTTTCCCAATAGTGCTCTGCTTCACAGTGAATACAAGAACAGTCAAATTATCTTGAAAGCAGCTATATCAAATGCAAGTGCCCTAGGTAATCCAAGAAAAATATGGTCAGTGTTAAACTTGTTAATTCATAATAAAATATCAAAGCAACAAAACACAGTGAATAAACTGCAAGTAGAAGATGACTCTATAGAAGTTCCTACGAAAATTGCAGATATTCTTAACACCCATTTTACAGAAATAGGTAAAGCCTTAGCAAAAAATATACCGGAGTGTACTTACATGAAACCTACAGTTATAAACTGTCAACAACTATATCAATGGGAATTAACTACCCCTCAAGAAATCAACAAAGTAATTTTAGAGTTAAAATTGAGAAAAGCTTGTGGTGCTGTTGGTATCTCTGGGGACTTGATCAAACATTTCAAAAACGAGATGTCAGTTATCTTAAGTAACCTAATAAACTTAACTTTCACTCATGCTCCAATTTCCAATGGACTAAAAGTAGCTAAATTTTTACCATTATAAACTACCAACCGATATCTCTATTAAGTTCTATCTTGAAAGTTCTGGAAAAATGTATTAATAAAAGGCTTGTTTTCTATCTTGAAAAAAAGAATTTTTGGTACAAGAGACAGTATTGTTTTTGTAGTGGAAGTAGCACAACATTGGCAGTCACAGATATGATTACCAACATCAGACATCATGTGAATGAAGGCAATAATAGAATTTTCTTAGTTGATATCTTCATGCTTAAATAGGGTTTAATAGTGTGATATTAAATTACTGTATTTTTTTTTAATTATTAATTATTTTGTAGTAGTATTGTTATTATTATAACTAAGCCAGTACCAAATTCTTCTTCTGTGATATATTATAAAATTTGTACCTTGTAAGACCCACATAGTCTTAAACTCTGGAGTGAAACTAAATTATATTCTTTTTTATTAATAAACTTGATGGAACCTTAACTTGTACAAGAAAATTACTGATAGACACTGCCTACCTACATTATGGATAAATGATGAAAGCTGTGTCTTAACAGATCCTTATAAGGAATACCTATGGGGGGATTAATTCTATCATATTTTAGAGAAAGAAATTTCAAAAACCTTCAATAAATTGATTAGTTGTAAGAATGTACTTGGTAAAGTGGGATCCATGCTACTACCGAAGCATATTCAAGGTTGGATCTGATGTAGGCATAATATACATTTTTAAGGTTTGTATGTGATTGAAATCTCCACTTTTTCTCACTAAAAAATCCATACGTTATTGACACCATGACAACATAAATTTTATAGAACATGTAGGCAGAGTAGAGCTTGTTTATGCATGCTACACACTTGTTAATGATTAAACAACTAGAGTTACTAATTAAATCATTAGTTTAACTCTATAGTTCTATCCAGATTTACAACAGCTTTTTTATAATTGGGTAGACATCAAGTTATTGAAAATGAATTAATCAAGCATACTTTCCATGACAATATAAATTGTATAGGACATGTTATAAAGTAGAGCTTGTTTGAGGTTTCCTTGAACAGATGTAAGAAAGTTTCAATGAATGGGCGTGATTTAAAATGTTCTAGAAGTTTTTAAATGGATCAATAAGTTACTTATTATTTTACATACAAATATCTATAAAATGAAAAAAACGCCACCGCCATCAAATGTAATTTAATAATTGTAATTTTAATTTAGATTTAAAAAAGGATACAAATTTCGCTAAATTGTTGATGTTCTATAGATCCTCCTTGCAATTTAATAGCCACAAAACAATCCTGTTCCAATTTATGACCAAGTTCGCCGTTATCTATAAGTTCGGTAATTTTTTGCGATATTTCATCGGTACCTATGGAAAAAAAATTATCATGTAGACAAAAAAAATGGGAACATCACTGAGTTACCTTCGATATAAACTACAAATACAGATCCTCTTGACTTGGAATATGTGATTGCTTCAGCAATTCCTCCTGAATACCACTTCATTTTATAACCGTATTTCCTTAAATAATATGATTTTTTACAGAATAAATATATAATTTCTCGATATTGCCTACGCACTATGGGTTACACATTCACAAAACAAATTAAAATACAAATGTCACCGTCCAAAACCGTCAGTAGACTGTCACTGTCATATTGTTGTCAAAACCTCAAAGACTCGTGGCCTTTTACTTTTCAGATTTTCTTGCAAAAAATTATCTCCGAGCAAATACTTTTCTAGAGAAGGCGTGTAGTAAGTTTATAGGCGATTGTTATGTTACCAAGATCCATGAGTACACTGATTATAAAGGGGGAGCTAAACATATGATAAAGAATAAATAAATAAATAAATTAAGACTAGTCTTCATATGCCGCGTTTGAGAATCCACATCGGATGCATTTTTTACATCTCGAGCGTTTTTTTATCCACATCGGACACATCTGTCCCATTACATTTACGTATACTGAATCACGTGATCAAAGATTTTTTACATCTCCGATGCATCCGATGTGGATTCTCAAACGCAGCAATAGGTAAACAGTCTGTCTGGTTCAGTGGCGTAGCATTTCTATGTTTCCTTATGTGATAACCCAACAGACATTAATACTGCGATACTGATTCAAGTTTAAAATTAGAAAAATCTTTAGAAGTCATGTGATAAAAATTTGGAAAAATTGAAAGCAAAAGAACTTCCTTCCTTTTAATTAATGTGGCCCAATGGCTGACTTTTAATGTCAAAAAAATAAAAAAACATTACATACTACTTTTTATTTTTTCAATAAATCACTTTAAAGGTTTAAATATTTTTTATTCGCTTGATGGTTCGACTTTAGCTTTGAAGGCCATTGAAAAAAAGAAATAACTCGAGCTAGTGGAACTAGTAATTTTTTTGTGAGAATATGTGCCATTTTTTTTAAATTGAAATAATATAAAACAAGCTTAAAATGACATTTTTATTGGAAAAAATTATATTTTAAATTTAAACCTACAGTGGGATTCTCATCTTTCAATACGACACGTGTTGAGACGTCTATCTTAGTTCGACAGAATGCGATTTTTATGTAATGTCTCTCTCTATTCAACGTAGTTCGCACGTAAGAATCGCTGTTCTGGTTTATTTCTTGACTACTAGCGGTGGAATTGGGCAGAAATGACATTGTTGATCCAAGTTAGTTTTAGTATGGATGGCTCAGTTCAGAACAACAATACAAATTAGTTTATTTTAAAATAGATGACATTTTGCCCATATCATATTCTCTTATTTATTTACACATCTAGTTATAGAAGATCTTTGATTTTGCCATGTAAACAGTTTTTGACGTTTGTTTGAAATCCGTTAATTTTTTTTTGAATTTATAAAAAGGAATAGAAAAAAGTGAATTTAGGCAAGTTTAGGTGAGTTTAGTTAATATTTTTATAATCGTAATTTAAATTTGAAATTAATTTATAGACCAAATGCCAATGACAAAGAAAAAAAGGCAGCTCAAAAGAGCAAAAATGAAATATTTTAAATATGATAAGCAAAAGAATAAAGTAGACGAAGTATCATATAATGATACTAAAAATAATGAAATTGATTTTGAAGCAGGCTCACCTTTAACGCCAGAAAAGGTGGATAGTTTTGCTACTGAACTTAAGTCAACGCCTATGAGAAAAAAACGTATCCATAAAAATACTCCTAATGAATCTATGAATGTTACAAATCTCAACATACTGTTTGACTCAGGTAGATTTAAAAATATGTATATACTTGCACATTTTTCTCATCTTGTTTATAATTTTTTTATATTAATAATACAGCAGTGGCGTAGCGTAAGGAGGGAACAGAGGGAGCACTTGCTCCAAGCTACACTTTCAAAGGGTTGGCAGATTTGAGAGAAAATTACTTCCTATTTATGAATATGAGTAATAAAATACATTGATGGTAAATAGGATTTTGTTGATTGAAAAAACTATTTAGTACAATATTCAGTAATTTGAATAATAATTATCATGCACTGAGAAAATAATAATAATATTTATTCGGCTTTGAGACATACATAGGTATTTAAAATATTTTAAAAAGGTTAAAAAATGTATAAACATATAAGATCTATTAGCCTTGTCAACACATACAATTTTAAAAAATAGAGACATGTTACAATTGAGTTTGAAATAAAGTACAAATTAAAAATAGTATACAATAGGGCAAAAACATTAGACAATAATTATAATAAAGAGATACCATTATGGATCACCGAGTATCATTCATAAATTCTGCACAGGAATAATATGTTTCAGACGAAAGATATTCTTATTTTTGAATACATTAAAGATTTTTTTATTATCATTGACTTAAGTATATCTATTAAAACATGCAACATCTCTGTAGTTTTTGGAATTCTGTCCAACTGAGAGTCTATAGAGAAAGACTGCTGTAGATATTTGTGATTGCGTGTGTTATAATTGTGTGTCTATAATCTAATAATTCAGATTCCTGTTTTTTTATATTAAGTATTAGTATATATACAAAGATGGAAGTGTTAGGATTTTAAAGTCATGAAAAAGTTGTTTGCAGCTAGTTCTTGAAACCCCAGCCATGCATCTTATAACTTTTTTTGTACACAGAAGGCTCGCTCTAAATGAGCTGAGCAGCCCCAAAAAATTAGACCGTATGAGATAATTGATTCAACCAAACCAAAATATGTTAATTTTAAAACATCGGGATTTACAGTGTTTTTTAACTGCCTCATTAGACTTAGTTTATTTGATACATGTTCTAGATGGTTCTCCCACATTAAATTACTGTCCAGAATTAGACCTAAGAATTTGCTCGAATTTGTTTATATCAATGATTGATGATTTAGTTTAACGAGATAGCTGAAGTCATTTGTTATATTTTTTGGTAGAAATGTCATGATTTCACATTTTTTTTACATTAACATTTTAGCCGTGTGAAATAGAATAACTATAAAATTTATGTACAGCACTATTAGCAATATATTGCAGTTCAGTTGCATTTTTTGCTGATGTTCCAATTGTTCTGTCATCTGCATATATAATTTTGGTACTTTGACTAGAACAAGTCATTAATAAAAACTAAAAATAAAACGGCCCAATATTGAGCCCTGCGGTACTCCCGTTGTCACATTTCGACTATTTGATTTAATGCATTCGATGGTTACAACTTGTTCATGGTTGTTTAAATATGACTGTATCTACTTATACCTATTTGGTACAATTTATTTGCTAGCAGTTGATGGTCAATTGAGTCAAATGCTCCTGATAGGTCGAAGTATAAGGTAATATTTAATTCGGGTCGGTGGTGTAGCGGTCTAACGCGCTTATATTCATTTACAAGCAAGTTTATGTGTCAGAGACTGCTGGGCTTCGAATCCCAGACCAGACTATGTGGATTTTTAATTAAATTGCATGGTTCGGTATAGGATTTGATGTGTGCCGTATTAATAGAAATTCAATTTCTGTTGATATGACATGCAGATTATAAAAACCGCCATACATTACCGTCTTGATGATGGTGGGTGAGGTTTTCCTCACCTGTAAGTCAAATCGCACCATCAATCATCTTTAAGTCGCCCCGGAGCGCCACGGCAAATAATAATAATAATAGTAGCCGTCCCTTTCCCCGCACAAGCTCAGCTTTTGGGGTTAAAATTCACTCGTAAGGGGATGAATTAGGGAGAGTATTATTATTATAATAATTATTATTATATTAATATATTATTATATTATTATATTATTATATTATTATATTATTATATTATTATATTATTATATTATTATATTATTATATTATTATATTATTATATTATTATATTATTATATTATTATATTATTATATTATTATATTATTATATTATTATATTATTATATTATTATATTATTATATTATTATATTATTATTATTATTCCTTCTTATTTAAGAATGTGTAAACAAAATCGCATAACTCCCCTATAGCACTAGATGTTGACTTATTTCTGCGAAAACCATGTTGAAATTTACTCAAAAGTTTATTATGTTCTAGAAATTTAATGAACCTGTTCTTATAGGCCATTTCGAATACTTTAGTCAGTTGACTTTGAATGCAGATGCTCCCATAGTTTGCCATGTCATTTACAGATCCTTTATTTTTATATGTAGGAATGGATTTTGATTTTTTTAATATGCTAGGATAGTCACCACATAAAAAAGACTCATTTATAAGGACACAGGTACACTAATATCTTCAACAATAAAAGACAATATTGTTCCATCTATTTCATCTGTACCAGCAGATTTTTTACAAGTTGTTTTCTGTATAATTTCTGTTATTTCCTTTGGGGTAGTTGGAGTTACAAAAAGAGTGCTTATAGAAAAATCTTGAAGCTTTCTTCACTATAATTTGGTAGAAGTGATAGTCTACATCAGTAAACTGATTATTAAAAGCATTACATATATTTTGTGCACCAGAAATTTTGTTGCCTTGACAATTTAGTATCTCGATGGGTAATTTTTTTACTGATTTTCCTTTTGCCTCATTTACAATTCTCCAACATTCTTTTGTTGAATTTTTTGCATTCCTTTTATTATTATAGGAAAGTTTGGCTGATTTGACTTTATTATCATAAATTATTTTGAGTTTTTTATATCTATCCCTAATAGTATCATTATTATTAGTTATGTATATACTATGTAATTCACACAGCATCTCATGCAGTGCAATGTGGTCTTTTAAACATGTTTAATAGTAAAATATTTGATTGCCACTGAAAAAGTACTTAACTTTCGGTCAATAAAACTCATTATAAAAGAAGGTTGCTGGGAAATATATTAATCTGAAATTACTCCATGTTATTCGTGAATTGTTTAATAACCAATAATATATTAGTAATGAAATGTCCTAATGTCAAATAAATAAATTTAAAAAATGCATCATATCATGGCATGTAATGGGAAAATAACTCTAACCCTTCATAATTCAGATTACCTATTTATGGAATGAGCACATCGTGTTTTAGTGAGTTTTTTTGCATTGAGTTTTAAAGTACTAAAATAATGAATTATACGACATTAAAGAAGAAATTGTGATTGGTAAATTAAGGAAGTCTTTGGTATGTGTTTTTTCAAAATATGAATTAAGTCCTTGCAAACAACTGTACCCCACTTTTAAAATTTATTCCTCTGGAACCACATTTCCAAGGTTTTATTCAGTTATGTAAAAAATGAGAAAATCATTCAGAAATCGAAATTTTCGTTTTTTTTTATTATAAAACAAAAACCAAATTTTGGAAAAGTGGATCCACAGTAACCCGAATTTAACCTTTATCTCTGTACGTATTTTTTTCTTAAACTAAAAATAAAGATTAATAGAGGGGTACTACCTAAGGTTTGCATATGGTTACCTATATTTGCTGCGTTTGTTTATCCACATCGGTTGCATCTGAGATGTTGTGAATCTTTGATCACGTGATTCAAGATACGTACATGTAGTTAGAGCAGATGTGTCCGATGTGGATAAACAAATGCTTGAGCGGCTGTGAATATTGAAACGTATCAATTCCATGTTATAGTTTGAAAGAGACCACTGCCAATTTTTTTTAAGGGGATATTTCTGGACGACCTCTGTGAAACTATTTAATAATCATAATTAAAGTGCCTTAATAGACCTGCAAATACCCACCAATAAAGCCATTAATAATATTTATTAAATTATCAATACTTGTATGAATTAAATCCTATCATCAACACTTATATGAAATAAATCCTATCAAGCTGTTCAATATCTATCTATCATTACGCTGTATAATATCTGTTAAAAAATTATTAGTTTATTAGTTTGTGATAGTTAAATGATCCAAGAACAAAAGGTTAATATAGGTGTTAATAATCGGTTTAATTGTCTCACATAGTAAATATTAAAAAAATTAATAACCAGTATTACATTTTTAATAACCGCCATTTTTGGTATGTGTGATATTCAACTAATAATAAATGTTCTTAAAGTAATAATATTGTATTTGGATAATTATTATTATTATTAGACTACCAAAACGTGCTCTTACCACTGAACATTTATAAATTTTTTTTTATTTAAAAAAAAAAAGTTTTATTCATAAAAATGCTAACATCTCCTAGACTTTAAGTAATAATTACTAGCAGTTAAGAATTACAGAAACATAAATTTCCTGCGTTTAGCTTTTCTGAACTCCTTAAAAACTGTATCATAAATCAGCTTAGATATCTGCTTCAATAGATAAAATTGCCAAAGCTAAAAGACTGCTGGCCCATTATTGTACTTTTTAAATAATTAATTAATATAAATATTTGGGTAAATTTCTTTTAAGTTATTTTCTATTATGTATTGGAGCAGATGCTTTACATCTTTAATGAAATCAGGTAAATTTGGGATCATTGTTTGTAAATCTTCATATAATTCGTAAGGTTTGAAATCACAGCTCTGGCCCACTCACGGAACAGTCCACTCTAAATAATTTTAAAGGCGAGGCTTTTATAAACAAATAGAAAAATAATTCAAAAAATCATATAAAGGAGGACGTCTTGGGAAAGATATAAAAAAGAAAGAAGAAAAATAGGGAAAAGGAAGGAAAAAGAAAGAGTAAACGAAAACGAAAAAAATGCAACTTCCAAATGATTCGCTTTACATCTCAGGAAAAACATTTTGGAATCGAATATTAGAAGAGAATAGAAAAAATAAACCAAATCGAAAAGTTCTATTAAATATATTTCGATTTTTAGTTTTTAATATAATTATATATTGTTTTACAAAGTAATTTATTTTTAATATTCTTGAATAGAACGATTGTCAATGAGAAGTTTTCAATGTGTGTAATAGTTCAATTATTCCACTTTAACAAACAAACAAAGGTTCTAACCATAAAACAATTTTTTTTTTAATTTATGTTAGTTCAATGGAGACCGATTTACGTTTTATTTAATATTTATTCCTCTCAATCACATCAAAATCTGTTCATAGAAACAGAAAACAAAATAAGCGAATATATGGCCATATTACTCATTTGTTATTTCAATACGCCGCAACTCCAAGAAATAGATATTGGAACAAAAACAGATTTTGATATTTAGAATTTGGTATTTCTTTCTTATTTAAAATAATTTGTTATTCGTTGCTTTTTATATTATAGTTAAAATACAGAGTGTTTGAAAGTTAACATTCTTTAATTTAATTTTTGCTTACATATAGGTAGGTCAGATGTGACAAGGAAATGAAAGAAATATTTTTCATAAGTTAAAAAAAGCTGCATTAAACCTTTGAGGCGCAAGGCCCTTCAGGCTGCGAGGCCGTAGGCGGTGGCCCATGTCGCCCTCGCCTTACGCCGCTCCTGGGGGCGACAAATGCGTAGCATATATCTCGGGCGGCAGAAACCTACGCTACGCCACTGTAATATAGATATATAAAATTTCAAACTATAGAATCGCTTATTGAGATAATAAAACTTCTTTCTAGAATTTATTTACAATGCTCACCCAGGAAATGATGTCTTCATTAGCAAAACGAACTCTGCTAGAAAACGATCTCTATCCAGCATCTCAAAATTTAGCTCTCCTGTTAAAGGAGAACCTTATAGAAAACACAAACACACTCAAACACCCGAGAAGAATGATATCATTCTACCTAGTTGCAACACCAATGAAGAAACACCTAAATGCAGGAAAATTTTCACCATGCAAAAGAATACTTTAGAAAAAAGTCATAGGGTTATTAAAAATAAATTTTTGAGTAAAAAGTTTCAAAATGACATCAACATTAACCCTTATCTGAAACATATGGAGCCTAACAAGAGGGATGACAGTTACAGTGAGGCATCTTTTTTTTGTCCTAATTTGTTTCAGCCATATTCATCGACACCTATTCAAGCCGTTACAAATCATCGAGATTTAGTTGAGAATCTCGCAGATGCTATTTTTAGTCCAAAGACTCCAAAATTTTGTACTAATGTAAATATAAACAAGACTCCCAAGGAGAAGGTAAGATCTGATAGTTGAATGCTTAATATATAACAAAATTAATATAAATAATGTTCTAATAATTTTTGGTGAAAGGAATCATCAAAAATTGGACAATGCATTTTACATACAGTGCTTTTCAGATAAAAGTATCCACCTTAAGTAACTTTTGAAGGACTGATTATTACAAAAAACAAAAAAATACGTCAATTAATATTCGAATGGGGAGATATCGTGCCATATTTAAGTTTGCTGAAAAAGTCCCCCATTTTTTTATCCATTTTTGGATTGTTCTCGTTTAACTGATTTCAAAAATGTATAAAACATGGGGTTTAAAATAATTAGTTTATGATCTACAGAGTTCCATTATTTGAGTGACAAATTTTTACATCTCACCTTACTGACCGCAGCAAAATTGGATTTAGAATACATTATACCTTAATCGTACCGCTAAAAACTTGTTGAAGTTTTTTATGATACATGGTAAAGATATTGGAGATTTGAAAAATGAATTTAAATTACTTTTATAGTGTATTTTGATACATGTGCACATTGATTTGTTGAGGTTATTTATTTGATTTGAAAATGGTTTACAGTTTACAAGAAAGAATTGAACTTGTAGGTTTATACTACAAAAATAACAGTTCTGCACGAGCTGCTACTAGAATTTTCAACGAAACACACCAAGGAGGTCATGCAACTCATAAGTATGTAATTGATCTTATGCATAAATTTACATCAACCGGGTCAGTTGGCAATAAAAAACATAACCGACTGGAACTCGTAAATAACGAAGCAATTGAAGTCGCAGTTTTAGGACAAGTAAGTCTTGAAAATCAACAAGCATAGTCACTGACAACAATAAGCAGAGAAGTAGGTGTTTCATCTTCCACAGTTTATCGAATATTACACAAGCATAAGTACCATCCATACAAAATTAAATTGGTTCAAGAGTTGTATGAAGATGATTTTGATCGTCGTCTTGAATTTTGTGAACTATTGAGTCAGCGCTTGACTGACAATCCACATTTGTTGCACAACCTTTGTTTTTCGGATGAATGCACATTTTCAGTTAATGGTTTAGTTAATAGACATAATTGCAGATATTGGGCTGAGAGTGATACACATGTTGTGCGTGAATACCACACACAGAATCCTCAAAAGTTAAATGTATGGTGTGTTATCCTAGGTGACCACATAGTCGGACCTTTATTTTTAGACGGAAACTTAAATGAAGAGTCATATCTTGAGTTATTGAGAGAAGTAATTGATTCACGTATTACAACAATAATAGAAAATGATCATAATCTTTCTGAAGATTTGCTTGTCTTTCAACAGGATGGAGCGCCTCCACATTTTGCTTTGCCAGTACGACAATTTTTAAATGAAACTTTCCCCAATCGTTGGATAGGTAGAAGAGGCTCGATGATGGAGTGGCCACCTAGATCACCGGATTTATCACCTCCAGACTTCTTTTTATGGGGTTATTTAAAAACAAAAATTTATGCTACTCAACCAGAATCTTTAGAAGATTTACGACAAAGAATAGAGTATGAATGCCTACATTTAAATGCACACGTGTTTGGTAATGTCAGGGAGGCTTTTCAATCTAGGTTATACCATTGTATGGAAGTAAATGGTGGACATTTTGAACAATTTTTATAATAAATTTTGAAAATGAAATATTTGTTTTGTCATTGGAAACGCTTGTGACAAAATCATTAAAATAAAAAATTTGCACAATTAAATTTTATTTTAATTTAAAATTCTGTAGATCGTAAACTAATTACTTTAATCCCCATGTTTTATACATTTTTGAAATCAGTTAAACGAGAGCAATCCAAAAATGGATAAAAAAATGGGGCAAGCCATTTAAAAAAATTGAAGGGATGATAGTAGGGGTGAAAGGGTGACTTTTTTAGCAAACTTAAATATGGCACGATATCTCCCCCTTCGAATATTAATTGACGTATTTTTTTGTTGTTTGTAATAATCAGTCCTTCAAAAGTTACTTAAGGTGGATACTTTTATCTGAAAAGCACTGTATATATTCTAATTAATATTTTGATTTGTAATAGGTTCTTTTTTTATATTATCACATTTGTTTATATAATATTGTCATTTATTTTAACAATATACCTGTTTCAAGTCTGGTACAACCAAAACATTTACCTCAATAGCTTAAAAGTGCCTGCATTCGACCAAAAACAACTACAATTAAAACCAATCTAGTGAATAATACACATCTATATTATTGATAAGTTCATAGAGAGAAACATGAACATTACCTTCTAATATCAAAGAAGTGGATGTCTAAAAAATCTCAGGAATGGTGGAAAAATTCACCAGGACAGAGACAGGCCAAAGATTTCTTAAAAGGATCATAGCCTAAACTCGCCGAGCATCTACTAAGCCTTAATAGGAAAAATACTAGAGTACTAGAAGGTCTATTAACAGGGCATTGTAGGCTTAACAAACATATGTATAATATCGGTATGAGAGAAGAGACCTTGTGCCGATTCTGCCAGGAAGAGGAGGAAACTGCAGGATACATATTGTGCTACTGCGAAGGTCTGCAAAACTGAAATTCCTTACATTTGGAGAAGAAAAACCAAGGGCAACTAGCTACGCCGGGGAACTACTTCCTAGTCTGTGGAGTCTACTACAAAATACCGAATTAGACAAGGTACTCTAAACAACGATTAAAGGATATCCACAATAGATCTGAAACGGTCGAGGTGGGGGAGACCACATGGCCCACAGTCCTGACTAAATCTAAACTAATGTAACGTTTATTTAAACAGTTCATAATTTAATTTTACTAAAAGCTTTATTAATACTAAATTATATCTCCTTTATTTGTACACTAATTTACTTTTACAATATCTTAAATTTTTTTTAACGAAAACTGACTTAAAACGACAAAACAGACTTGTTCTTGAAGATTATCGACGTCTTTCGACTAGACCAGCTGTACCCAACCTTTTTTTCTTTCGGACCACAAAAATTTGTATTATTTTTGGGTGATAACTAGAGTTGCCAAAAAAAGTCTTCATGTTTTAGTTGTTTTCGTTGTTTTAATAAGCTAGCTCAACCATTTCAATTACTAATAATCGTGTTTGGGGCTGCACAAATAAGCTTCGAGGACCGCAAAAAAAGCTTGGAGGGCCGCACAAAACAGCTTGGAGGACCGCATGCGGGCCGCAGGTTGAGTATGGCTGTTCTCCATACATCGACGGATACACCATTTTCTAGACTGGTGCATTCACCAGAATCGTTGACTCTAAATGTTTCGTCATGGGTCTAGTATTTTCTAGAATGAATGATTCACTTCCACCAATCGACATGGGCGTCCGATAGTGGTCATATCTAGGACTTTTTTTTTCTCGTCGCCGTGACGAAAGTTCGTTGGTTACCTATGATAGCATTTACTAAATATTCAGATAAGATGAATTGTAATATCTCTTGTATTGATGTCAATGCTTCCCCAAAAGGTATGGTGGGCATTGGCATCGCATCCTATGATTTGAAGGTTAGCCCGTGCCTCATATAAGACTATTTCGCCAATTAAATGCAGGGGACATCTTCTTGCCTGGAATATATGCGGAACAGACAATCCATCTTTCTGTTCCTTTCTGTGTCGACGTAGTTAGGACAACTGTAACAATATCAGCGATGCAAAACACCGATATTAGTACACAGTTTATCCTATTGTATAAGATACATACACGAGGTCTTAGACTGTTCGTTATATATTTTATCTTGGTTGAGTTTTAGACCTGCTACCCTCACGCCATGTAACCAGGGTTCTTGCAAGAGGGCCAAGTCTAGACCCTCTTTGTCGAACCTCCTACATACTGTAACAGCGGTCGCCTTGGCATGATGGAGGTTCACTTGAAGAACTCTGATCATTCTGCTCAGTTCTGTGAGCAGGGCAGTTCGTCTGCCTTCTCTGAGGGCTCTCCCATTTCCATATGTACAGTCTCCTTTTAGGCATTTTGCCTCTTGAGGACACTGGCTCCACTTTAGGAAGACTCCACCTCGTCATCCTCTGAGGATTTCCTCCTCTGTAGAGGACTCTTTGGTGTCTACTCTGCTTGTGCCTGGGTTATTCACCTTTTCGGCAGGCTCTTGGTCATCTCCTACTTTGACTCTTAATTTTAGTCTTCCTAGGCCATAGTAGGGGGACATGTACAGCTTTTTTAGCTCCTCTAAGGATTCAGCATCCATCGAGAAAACCCACGTTTGACCTTTTTCAGATGATGTTTTACCCTACACCATTATAGCCTAGGGATAGTCTCCTTCCAACGCTTTCAAGGTTGCCCCTTCCTAGGGTTGTGACGGTGTCCCGTAACCAATCTGCACTGGTGCGGTCCGCGCAAGTCACCACCTGATGGCCTGGCTTGTGGCTGCACTTTGCGAACCTCGCCTGTGTTCCATCTGTGTGGATTTTATCGTGGGCCTCGGATATCGAGTCTTGGACTTTGTCTAGTCTCTGTGGACTTATTTTGCATTTAGGATACCCTATTGCTACCACTGCAATCTTCACTGTGGTAAGGGCTTCTTTAAACGAGATTTCGTCCGTCTTAGCCTTCTTCCTCAGTCGACTGACCTGTGGCGGTGTCGCGTCTGTTAAGCGTGGACGCTTTGGACACTAAAGTCCATATTAAACCAGGAGATCCATTTATAGTACCTAAAACATACTACCTTTTTAAGCCATTTGTAACTATGAGGGTTGGTGGATTGAGAGTAATCGTTTTTTATACTTTTTATTTGAAACAAAAACAATTTAAAAAAATAAATAAAAGAAAACTTATGAACGCCGTAACTTGAGCGTCATCTTATATTTTTGTGACAATGCTACCTACCAACTTAATCTAGAGTAACTTCATAGATCACTTACTATCTAACTTGCTAGATTTAACATTGTTACAAACTGTCCAATTATTAAAAGCTGTATGTAGTAATAGTAAATATCTATAATAAGTAGTCATCAAAATAAAAGTCAAAATACTACAAAGAATAAAATATAATTTAAAACTTTAGACTACACAACTAAATAAAATAAATGGATGGGTTTTTTTGGTATCTTCTGACAATTCAGTATAACCTAAAAAAATGATCATTGTGTTTAACATTTATAATTATTTATTAATATTAAAATTATTTTTCGATTTTGTTCGATAACACTGTTGATTGAAGTAAAGCTCTTGTTGAGGCATTGTATTAATTCTCTATTATCATCTTGTCCTGGCTGAACAGAAATATAACAGTGGAATAGTGATTAAAATGTAGGAGAAAAGTATTAAACAGTATAATTATGATCTCCATAGTAGAAGAGAAATGGCGGTACAAAAGGAGCAGGTCATTGACTCAGACCACCTGCACTCGGAAAGGCAATTATTATCCGTTCATGGTCAAACCCCATAGCGGAGCATAAATGCGAACATTTTAACTGTCAACCCCCTACGGTCTCTAAAAAAGTCGACTTTCTGCGAAATCACAAAAAAATTTTTGGTGATTTCCAAAATACGGGTACGGTTTGACCTTAGTTGTTTCCCCCTCGTAAAAAGCTTAAAGTACCTTACATCACTGACTTCATTTAAGTGCCTGGTTGAAGTATGCACAAGAAACATTTTTAATAAATTAAATTTTAGTACATGAATCTTATGAATATTTATCTAATAAACTATTATCATTTTAATTTTTTTAGATATTGAAAAAAGAGATCACTATACAAAGCTTAAAATCGTCTTCATTCAACATCTCTGCTGGAAGAAGAACCTTTAAAAATTCTCTCAAATCACCAGGAAAAACCCATTCGACTAAGTTGAATGGTTACTTTTCCAAATATGATATTAACAAAAAATCTTCGATGGAAGTTTCGTTTAATAACTCTGATACTGGTTGCTGTGATAATTTATTTTCGAGAATTAGAAAGTACTGCAAACTGACCCAAAACTGGACCGGAAAAATTGTAAATGTTTGTTTTCATTTGGGCCTGCAGTTAAAGAATGTAAGTACACGTAATGCTAGGATTGTGTATATTAACTTTGATATCAATTAAATTTGTGTCCTATGGAATAATTTTTAGACTGTAAGTTCCATCTATGCTGGTCACAGTAATTCTCTTCAAGGAGACATTCGATTGTCTTGCCATAGGTGCGAAGAATATCGAGCAGAAGTATCAAAGTTGTCATTAAAAGTCGTTGACATTGAAAATTTTAATAAAAAACTTAATGAAGAGATGCAGAAGGTAAATTTAAATTTAATATAGGTTGAATTTAAACCAATTAAGATCGTAATAAACTGATTTATTTTTTTTTTCAGATTAGAGATGAATTCAGTCAACTTACAGACGTTAAAAGTGAAATAGAATCTCTAAAAAACGAGCTAAAAACAATAAAAAATAATCCTTCTGTGCCTATGATTCCCCCTCCACCACCGCCACCACCGATGCCGCCTATCGCGCCCCCACCACCGATGCCGCCTATCGCGCCCCCACCACCACCTCCTCCCCCTCCACCGCCTCCTCTAATGTCATTAGACTCGAATAAGTTAACGATTTCCAAGAAGAAGACGAGCAATGGTGAAGATAAAGAAAATAGCAGGCCGGTGATTTCTTTGGAGGATATTTTGAAAGTGAAATTAAAGAAACCAGTGAGTACTCACATGTATTAATTTTTTTCGAACTCCTGGATAGATATTAATATTCAAAAATTATACCTTCTTCTTTTGTCACTTTAAAAGCATAATAAAAGTATATTTTGAAACTTCACAAAATGGCGCCCAACGTGGGGTTATTTTGTTTGAATATAAATTATTTGATATTTCTAGAATAAATAATAAACATTAGAACATTATAATGAATGATTTATCTTTAGTATTTCATTAATTTTATGTTTACTTCATACAAAATATTTTACCAATTTTTAAAATCGTAACATTTGTGAAATATTAAATTAATTAAATTTACATAAAATGTGTCTGTACTTGAATCCGAATTTTTTAGAAACCATACCAACCCACTCCGACTTCACGTCGCACCAGCCAGCCCACAGTGTCGCTCGACATGTTGAGACAAGTCAAACTGAGACCTTCGTCCTCTAAGAGCGTTACAATACCGGACAACGAATCGATAGATGTAACGTTGAGCCCCAACACGAATCTGTGCAGGTTACTGAAAAGCGATCTTATGACCTCCGGTAGAAGGTTAAAACGTTTGCGTAAAGTCGGTGGTTTAAGTTGTGATTCTGTTTACAGGCGAAAGTTCGGCGAAGGAAGAGATAGATTCGAAGAAATTTGAGTAGAACAATGTGCAGGATTGATAATAGTTTTATATACTTTACGTAGGTGGTTGAATGGGTCTTTTTGCATAGGTAAGATCTTTTTAGTATCTGTATTAGGTTTATATGTATCTGCCCTTTTACGTAAAAAAACAGTCGCTTGAAAACAACAAACTAAAAATATAATTTTAATAATCCGAATCCAAAAATGAAGAGTTTGATGGTTTTCTCATGGATCCCGTCATCAGATTTTGACCAAATTTATATGACCACCTCTGAGATTTCCCGTTCTTACCAAAAAATCGAATCAGACAACATGATTCTGAATTATTGCTGAACATACATAAAAAATATTCCGACAGCTTGATATTTTTTTGCAGTCTGTTACAGTTACATATAGTATTGCAAGGAAAGGGGCTCAAACACCCGTTGTAGGACCTGAGCCGTTCTGCGGTATCAGCAGTAACATAATATTAGGAGAGATTAAAAAAGAATTGGGCAGTAGAAGAACCGATAATTAGAACAATCTCTTGGGGCTGAGACAGGCCAAGATACTTCTCGGTGAATATAACCAGAAAAGATCGGAAGCCTGCATCTGCCTAAGCAAGAACAGGCTACGTATCGTAACGGGGATCCTTACTGGGCATTGTCGACTAAAAGGACACCTAAGTAAACTGAGAGTAGTAGAGGATAGTGAGTGCAGATTCTGTGAGGAGGAGGACGAAACCTCCATTCACATCCTAACTGAATGTGTAGCACTCCAGAATCCAAGGGCACTATATCTAGGAGGATATCAAATAGAAGAGGGAGATTTACCTAACTTGAATCCACTTCAAATTCTACACTTCCTTGAGAAAATAGGGTTGGAAGGGTCGCTATAGGCATTGAGACATTTCCTTAATGCAGTGGCGACAGAAGGGGGCACAATAGATATTTTAGGTCGCAGTGTATTAACACCCCATTCTCAACATAACATAACATACAGTTAACTCAAAAAGACAGTTATAATGCTTCTACCTGATGATAATTTGTGCTATTTACATTAACACGTTCACGACCGCTATTATGAAATTTGACGATGCTAGAAACCAACCGCGTTTTTTATGAGTGGCATATCTTTTTGATAGAAAGTTAAGGTTATAACTGGAACCAACCATCCAATCCTAAAATCATATGACACATGTGTGTGCCAGATACGCCCAGAAACTGACGCCAAAATACATCTGTGGTCGCTGAACCGCCCGGGAGTTATTTGCATTTAATCATTGTAGGGTAATTGTCACACATTTGTGACATCAGTTCCTGAAAAAAACTGATTGTCACATATATGTGACGCATGGTAGTCAACGTGTTAAAATGATAATAGTATATTTTGAAACGTAACTAATTGGCGCCCAACGTGGGGCGTAAAATCTTTATTGTCCACAACGTGGTCTCTTGTCGAAATGATCAATAAACTTAATAAATCAATAATATACAACATATTATGTAGTGTCGTCGTAGAATGTGGACTCTCAAACTGTCAAAAATCACATCGTTATATGAAAGTCAGTGGTCAAAACTATTTCGGTTGCTCCAGCATTCGTGAGTTTATTATATTTTCAAAGATGAAAATGTTTGACTACGTTGATTATCTGGCAACCTTGCTGGATACCTGTTGACTTGTCATCGACCACATTTAGCACATACAGGAGTGATAATGAAATACGGTGAATAATTTTATTAGAAACAAAGTAATAAGTTTATATGGAATTATATTTAATCTCCTTCAAAGTACTGTCCTTGGCTAGAAATATACTTATCCCAACGTTGAATCCATGACCGGAAGGCTTATTTTGGAAGGGCATTCAGCTGCTCTGTCGTGTCCTCATCTATGTCAGGAACAGTGTCAAAATGTTTTCCTTTAAGCACGGTTTTCATTTATAAGAAGAGCCAGAAGTCGCATGGTGCTAAATCTGGCGAGTAAGGCGGATGTGAACAGATAGGAACACTTTTTCCGTCAAAAAACTCGCGAGTCGTAAGCGAGGTGTGGCAAGGCGCGTTGTCGGGATGGCTCATTTTTCTCGTCTCTTTCTTCATACATAGTTTCGCAAACGTTGCCGTACGCCCTTGTAAAATTCGGTGTTTACAGTTGTTCCCCTTGGAACGAATTCTGATCACACTATGCCCTAACTATCGAAAAAAACTATGAGCAGACTTTGATTTTGAATACTTATTATTCGCCTGTTTGAACAAACTATTTTTGCTACATTTGTTTTCTTCTGTTTTTGAGGTCAATGGACGTCTCGAACGTTTCTTGTCTTTTACTAACTCACTTCCGCTGTTAAATCGCTCATACCACTTGCGAACAGTCTTCAGAATTACAGATTTATCGCCATACACCAACTTCATCATTTCATGAATTTCTTTGGCACTTTTTGCAACTTGAAACAGACGTTTGAAATCCATGATAGGCGACACAACCTCACTGGTTCTGAACTCTGACTGGACAAGTCCGAACGTGTTCCAACGTAACGGTACCTGTCTGAACGGATCAGGCTATCAGACAAATTACATCAATTGGTTGAGCGTCAGCAGTTCCAGCTAAAAAACAATGATTCACCGTTTTTTTTTATCACTCCTCGTATTTTAAATCGATGGCCTAAGTGCTAAACGTCGTAACCCCAAAAAGTAAATTTTACAGGGGAATAAAAAAAAACCAAATAGACTTTAGATGTAATTTCGAAGCTCAACTTTTTGTTTTGGCGCGTAAAATTAATTTCATTTTATACTGTTGCTTACGATAGTTTTTCACAAGACGCAGCTAAAACATACGACTCCAATGACGCGAAAAGCGATTTTTTGAAATTTTGTGGGTTACGACGTTTTGCACTTAAGCCATCGAAATAAATATTTATTTCTACTAATATTTAAAAGACTAAAAAATTATTGGCAATGATAAATCATCGTATAACCAGTATTAGAGAAAAATTTGGGGAAAACTTTTTTCAAATTTCTAACTTCGCCACTAGATGGCGATGTTTGTGACCAATGGTAACATATACATAATGCGTTTGAACACCGACCTATGGGTTATTGAATATGGTTATTGAATCAAATGTTCTAGTGCCTTTAAAATGTTTTTTTATTACATTTTTTACCATTTTACATCAACATTTTTACATTTTTTTTTTATAACAATTTACAAAACTTTTTTTTAATTTTTTGTTACAATTTTTACATCCTTTTTTCTTTTTCAGTTTTTTGAAATAATTACCCAATTTTTTTGAATGATTGCCATAATTTTTTCATTTTTCCCGTTTTTAATTTTTAAATTGTTCCTTTTTAAATTACCCAATTTATTTAATTACCCCAATTTTCTGCAATATTTACTTTATGCTTTTAAAAATTACTCAAATTTTGGGAAATAATTACCCCCAATTAAAAAACATCCCAATTTTTTGGTAATATATTTTAATTTAAAAAGTTATTCCAATTTTTAAAAATTGATAAAATAATTTTTGAAAAATTTCATTTTCTTTTATTCGAAAAGTTTCCTCTTTTTTAATTACCCCAATAAATTGTCCAATATTTATAAAGCTATCCCATTTTTTGAAAAAATATGCCTTTTTGTTTTTGTAGACACATAAAATTTTCACAGAATGTGTATTTCTATAATTTTAAAATCACCCCTTTTCTTAAAAAGTTGCCCTTTAAGTTACATTTTTTTTTTTTTCAAAATTACCCCAAATTCCCTCAAACCCCCGAATTTCCCACTTCAACTCCCCCGAAAAAACGAAACTCCTGCCATTTTTTTTGTGTGGAAGAAGTGAAATTTATGAGAAGTTGTGGGGAAATTTTGGTTTGGGGTAGCGGAGAGAATTGTGAACAAATGGGAAATTTTGGTGAATTCCAGGAAAAATGGGGGAATTTTTGGAAAAGTAGAAAAACTCTGGGGAAATGTGGGAAAATTGTGAGGGATTGAGGAAATTTTGGGGGAATTCTGTGGGAAATCGAGCCAATTAGGGGAAAATTGTGGGAAAATGAGAAAAAACGGGGGACATGGAACAAAATTGTGGGGAAATTTGGGAAAATTGTGGGGACAGGTGTGAATTTTGGGGGAAATTCTGTGGAAAAGGAGGAATTTATGGAAAATAGGTGAAAAAGGAGGAATTTATGGAAAATAGGTGAAAAAGGAGGAATTTATGGAAAATAGGGGGAAATGTGGGAAAACTGCTGCTAACTAGTAAAATCTCGCACATATTAAGATTTTTATGCTTTTAATTTGGCATTTAAAAAAAAACAGCTTTTATCATTGGCCATGATCATTAAATCTCCTAGCGGCGAAGTTAAGAACTTGAGAATAATTTTCAGTGCTTTCTATGGACTTTTGTTAAAAAACATTCTCAAATCTGTACCATAAATGGTTCCTTAGATATGGCCCGCGCCCTTTCTTATTTCGTCACTTTTTTTACATGAAAATGACAGCCGAAAGTTTCAAAATGGCAATTAGGCGTCGTTTTGAAAAATGTTATGGAAAGGGAGGTCGTTCAAAAGTTGGTAATTGGCCACGCTTTTACAACTACACACTTTGCTTACCTGAAACAATAATTCTCCTAACTTTTTTCAGTGTCGAAATTCCTGTTAAAATTCAAGAAGGTGCTTTGGGGGTAATTGGTAATTTTAAGATTAATGTGTCAATTTGGTTTTTAAAAAATTCTCGTATTTTTTTCAACTAATTTTCAATATAAATTGACGTGCATAAAAGTTGAAAAATGCAGAAACTAAAATGACAATTTTTTATTTTATAAGGTATATTTTTTTAGTTTTTGTATCAATTATTTTTATTGTAAATTAAATGAATCCATGACAGTCTATATTGTTATTGTATATACAATTTTTTAATATTTTTTTATATATAAAAGATGAATCTATTTTTGTGAAAATTTAGCTTTTAATATATTTTATATATTTTTTATTTCTTTGTATTAATGTATTCTTTATTTTTGTGACAAATATTTATTTTTTTATAAGGCAAAGTTATGTAGCGACATTTGTAACATGTTCGTGTCATACAAATGACATGACATGAAATTATTAGTGAAATATTTTTTTGTAACGATTTTGTTAAAATATTTTTGTAAATGTATTGTAATATTTTTTTAATAAAGTTATATATTTAAATGTTTTAACCTTAATAGACTTAAAGTATGGAATATATGGGTAATAAGGTTAGTTTTATAAGCAATTTGCGGTCACTACAGTAGAGTACCACAATTGTAGATAGTGACTCATGTTGTAAAGAAATTTTATAGGCCAATCAAATTAGACGTTTACCCTGTACAAAAAAGTTATTTTTAATAGTTGTTGATTTTTTGAATACCGACAAAAGGAGAAATATTAAGTATTAATTAATAAACAAATTACTGGGGTATTGCAAAATTTAATTTAATCTCTTACAAATTTACAAAACCCTTCTACTAAAACCTTTTTCTTGTACTCACTCTTCAAAGACTCATGTTAGATAGTTTCAAAAAAAATTATATCTATACATTTTTTAAATAACTAATTCATTTGTTTATTATTTACCTCCAGAACAGATATCACTTTGTTGAAATAATTTGACTGGTCTATTTTTACACTGTTCAAACGTCTTCCAAGCGATTACAAGTTCGAGGTTGTCAGCGTTTAGTTTGCCTCTTTATCTAACGGTAGATAATGTCCGAGATCCACACTGTCGTCGCAGATTAAAGCGACGTTATTGGCAACAACGCCTTTAAAATTTTCTTGGATGTTATTTGCCGCGTTTGAAAATCTACATCGAATGCATCTGATATGTAGTAAATCTTTGATCACGTGATTAAGTATACGTAAATGTAGTGGGACAGATGTGTCCGATATGTGGATAAAAAAACGCTCGAGATGTAAAAAATGCATCGGATGTGGATTTTCAAACGCGGCAATTGTCGAAGCAGTGTCATAGGCGCGCTGATAGGAATTTCATAAAACAGAGACTGAAACTGTTTGTAATAGAGAAGTTAAGTATACTCCGAACTCTGTAATATTAGTGGAAGGCTCTTTTACGTGTATAAACAAGGGATGAAACAAACTATATTAATACTTCGAAGGCTGAGACTAGAGAAAGAAAAAAAAAGAAAATTGGAAGATATAACCAAACAAGTCATTCGTCGAGCAGTACGTGCATTTTATATTAAAAAAGGAATTACTAACTGTAAAGAAAATTGCTTCCTCTTTTCAATCTAATGAAAATCTCCCAAATATCAAGACGTGCTTTGCGTGAAATGAACTTCAGGTATTTAAAGAGAGAATAGTACTCTTATTGAAAAAGAGGAAATCATTTTATGGCGTTGAAAATATCTGAAAACAATAGCAGAGTTTCGAAGAGATGGCAGAAAAATATATTATACAGATGAAACCTAGTTAAATGAAGGACATACTGTGACAAAAATTTGGCAGGATTTATGTAAAAAACAAACCAAGCTTTTGTAGATGGTTTATCGACAGGTTTAAAAGCCCCATCTGGAAAGGGAAAACGCCTTATTATTATCCATATTGGTAGCGACTCAGGATTTGTTGAAGAAGGTTTAGACGCATTTGTTTCTAAAAAGACTGGGGATTATCATGAGGAAATGGATGCAGAAATTTTGAAAAATGGTTTTCAGATATTCTTTTAAAAATCGAACCAGGATTGTGTTAATGTTATGGATAACACTCCATACCACAGCCGATATGTAGAACAGTTGTCAACCACTAAATGGAGTAAAGCCTAGATTGCAGATTGGCTTTACTAAGAAAAATATTAAATTCAGTGAACCAATTTTCGAAATCGAGTTACTAAACTTAGCACCGTGTCATAAAGATAAATATGTCAAATATGTATTAGATGTTGAACTATTATTAGGGGAGAGGATGGACATTGGGACACTTCAATATATTGATCACATAATGTTATGTTGTTGCCACTAATAAATGTACTATCTATTACCATAGCTTTTAGCGATTATTCTGCTCTGATCGATGAATTAGATTTTTGCAATTTTCCAAAGTATCCTTGGCTGGGATAGATTTGGACAGTGCAGGGGCAGGTGTGGACAAAAACAAAAATGTAAAAAAGGCATAGTTAAACACAAAATTTTTATTAATTTAGTTGACGTTATAGGCACCAAAGTCTACTTGAAACCGCTTTTTTGAACTTGACCTTGCAGTTGTTTCAGACGTTCTTGGCTTAGGTAGTTTTAGTTTCACTTGTTCCAATTCTATTAGGTCCTTATCAGTGACTTGGGGAAAGGTAAATCCATTTTCTTTCTTAGAAAATTTGTTAAATATTTTCCGTCGACTATTTCTTCCACTTCTCCAACATAATACTGTTGGGTCCTCTTCCTGCAATACTTTACCAGCAAAAAGTCACCGATTTCGATATTTGGCGTCCCAGATTCGGGATCTATAATATGTTCTACGTCTTGCATGAATTCTTGGTCGGAATTTTCAGTCCATTGCACTTAAACAGTCAGATTTATTATCACCAAAAATTAACAGCTATCCGTAAACTAAAACAAATTCAAAGAACAGCATATCTCAACATAACAGGAGCCATGAAAACAACGCCGACCAGGGCCATGGAAGTCATTCTCAGTCTCACTCCCCTTGATATTTACATCAAGAAGGTTGCTCTGATGACAATGACACGTCTCCGTAGATTACTTCATCCCGGAATCATCTGAATAATTTGCTTGTTCCTTTGCTTGGGTATCTTTTTCTGGCGTTAGAATTCGTGATTGCGTAATGAGTGCTAATAATTTTTGCTTTCTGTTTGTTTTTAATTCAATATTTCATAGGCAAACCAGAAGCCAACTTCACTAAGATAGGGCTCGTATATACATTTGAATTTATATACAGTTCATCAAATTTCTAGAGGCTTTCGACGGCTAGACAGAGAAAGCACTACCGACAGGCATCCCGACGGATTTACGCAATGAAAGTACACTCTGCGCATCAAGTATTTCACTATTTCATTCAGACGTAAATGTCAGATGTAAATTTCGCTAAAACATTTCTTTTATTTTCGTTTGTGTTTTTTGCTCATTACAGTTTAATAGAACCTAAGTATGGAGTTTAATAGCAAATTAAGAGGCCGCGTGATTAACAGTCAATCTCGCGAAATAATAGCCAATGTTATAGAGTTTATGAGAAGAGAAGGAAACTTTAATTCACCTTCAATACCATTTAAAAATGTAAATGATCGTGTTGCTGCAGCCACAGGAGTATCTAAAAACACTGTCGTCCGCATTTCTGGAGAGAAAAAAGAATCGATAACCGTGAGATATCGGAATTTTCATCACCAAGAAAAACCATTAAAAAACCAAAAACAGTTAATGATATAGATGAAGCTGCACAAGAATCAAATTTTATTTTTTTATTATTAGATAGCTATTTTTGTTTCTGAGTTGTGTTCATTTACAGGCTCAATTTTTTTCCGTTTCTCCTTTTTGATTTTATATGGGGTTTCAAGTTGTTTTTGACTTATTTCGACGTAAATCACAACAACACACTTTTTTAATAAAGCAAACAAGTGTTAAGAGGTATATGTACGTGTAAACTACAATTACAAAAAATTGATACGAAACCCATGAAACCACCAACAAAAATGTAAAGCTAGCTTCCGTACTAGAACATGGTGTCATTCGTCGAGATAATTTATCGTTTTGTTTAATAGATCAAGAAATGTAAATATTCCCGTTATTTTGTATAAAATTATAAGAGAAATAAATTTTTTTCTAAATAGTATATAGTTTATTATTTTGTAGAAAAACAAAATTTCGAAAATTTTAGTAATGTTTCAGAAACAACCGTTATTAATAATAGGTACCATTTTCCTTAATAAGGTAGAAATAAAATATAAACTATTTCCACGATTTACAAAGGCCTACAAAAAAATTATAGGTATTTTCCGCTATCCTATAAAATTTATATTTTCTACTCAATTTCAAAAGGTTGAAGGAATTCCGAAACACCTTTTATGGCATAATAATTATTTTCAATTCTACATACTATCTTTAGCTGCTTTTAAAAACGTTCTAAGAAAGTCCAATCAGACCAATTTAATCCCTAAACTATTCCACACTTTTAAAATTTAATTACCTAAAAATATTAAAAACTATTTAAAATAACTTGTTTAGCAGACTGTACAATAGCTATCTTAGTCACACGTAGCGCGTTCTCTGTCTGAGCGTCGAACACCTCTAGAAATTTGATGAACTGTATACTTATTCGATAATTATTATTGCCGGTTTTCCTCGCCTTATGCATCTTTAAAATAGGAAAATAATGTTTGTGACAACCAATTCGTTCTAAAATGCTGAAGATCATTTTTAATAACCGCACGCCTATGACTCGTCGATTTCCTTTCCCCTCAAACCCGCAAAGTCTATGTTAAAAATGTGAATCACTCTCTACATTTGTGGTATTTGACTGTAGATCTTGTTCATGAGAATGGAATGCCCCAGGGTTCAGTTTTGAGTCCCACTTTAGCTATTAATGATATCTATTTCTTTATCCAATGACTAGCTTAAATGTGCTTTATATGTAATCTTGAATCTCCTCTGCCAAGGTAAGAATGCGGTCACTACTTCAACATTAGTTCAAAATGCTGTGAACATTGGGCTAAAAGTACAAGTTTTAGTTTTTCCACGTCTAAATCAAAAGTTATGAATTTCTGTGGGACACCTCGATCTTACCAGTAGTTAATCTGGAACTGATCCAGCTTTCTTATAGTGCTAAGAACAATTTCGAGCTTGGCCACGTGACCTGTCTAACGCAAGATATATTGTATTAAATTCAAACCATTTGTAGGTTATGCATGCGAGATATATGGATGTATAGTTTCATCAATCTCAGAACTTCTAAATTAATTTAAGGCAGGGTTGGCCTGATGAATCCCAACAGATATAACAAATAATACAACGGCTTAAAGAAAAAATACTTTATTCTACTTTTGTTACACAAATTCGAATGTATTTAAATATATTCTTATTTAGGCTTTAACAAAAAATAATATACAAAAGTTTCTAACCTAGTTTTCGCAAAGATTGCACAAATTAAAAATTAATCAGTCTAAATTTAGAAAACTCAAAAGTTTAAATTCGGTTAACTTTCTAACATTCCTTCTCAAGCTGTTTTAGCAAAATTAAAATTAAAAAAACTTTATACAAAGTTCATGAGTTGTATGTAATGCAATTGAGCATCTTTACTAGATCTAATCTGAATTCTAGTTTAGTGCTTTGTTATAATTTACAAATTTATATTGTGCAGTGATTTTCAGCGTTTATGACATGTTAAAAATAGACTCAATGTTTTGAAATACCCTGTATACATTTTCAGTACGCAGAGCACGGGGATAACAGTTATAGGTCTTTCAACTGCCAGTCGGCGCTTCTTATTCAATGTCACTATGTCAAGTTCGCACAAAAGAATTCCTGAGCTGCCACTCAATAAAAACTATAAAACGTCTATGGTACTAAAGAAGCTCAGACCCACAACGTATTTTTGTTTTGCTATCCCAACCTTAAGGTACGTTTACATCTGACATTTATTGCATGATATTTATGTCTGACAGTTGTTTAGTGCAGTGTAAACACACAAAAATTTCTCTCGGAGATATATGTTTGAGTGTTTACACTGGACTAAACAACTGTCAGACATAAATATCAGGCAATAAATGTCAGATGTAAACGTACCTTTAGATTCTTCGTAAATTGCACATGCCTGGTTTAAATAGTTTGAGACAGTGTATGGTGAAAGTTAACCTCAAGTGATTCAAATCGCAAGTCAAATAGAAAATCAAATTTTACCTTTAAACTGAACAAAAATGGTAAAAAACTGGATTATAAAAATATTTTAACAATTCTTCACTGGACACGATAACAATCACTTGAAAACGGTTTCTAAAATCGAAATAAAAGATCTATAACGCTCAGTTTCACAAAAGTTACTACCAACTAAAGCAGACTTGATAAAAATAACTATACAATATATACATGGAACGCGTTCATAGAACACAAAATTACATAAACGAGTCAAGACACATTTTGTTCTTTTCAACACTCATTTATATAGTGAATTTGTTTATAACAATTAAAAGAAAAAACAAACGAACAGAACATGATATTTTTTTGTACTGGTCGGTCAGTATCCAAAGTCACGAAGGATTTAAATTATTTAACTGGGTCAAAACTATTTTGTATTTGTTAAGAAAGGGAGAAATGAATTTGTCAGTTATGAAAATTTAGAAATAAATTCATAAACAAACTAGCCTAATGAAAAAATTAAGTTCATCCAGACAGGATTCGAACCTGCTGTCTCTGTCATCCCATGCTATTGTCTTAACTGCTAGATCATCTGGGCAATGTCTTGCGAACGATAAATTTATTAGAATCGATTATATTCAAATCCAACCAAGATATCCAGATTATTTAAAAATTTTCTTCAGTGATTCCAAAACAAAAATGAAATGAATCCAGATATCTTGGTTCGCTCTAAATATTTTGATTATAATTAATTTCATATTCACAGGACTTTAAGTGCCCTAATGGTAGAGTGTTATAAGACAATCTCCCGGCTGGCCAGAGAGCGCAGGGTCGAATTTAGCCAGGTTGTACGTGTTTATTCAATTTTTCTTTGGTTTGTTTTCATTTTAGGAAATTATTTTACCTATTTTTTGTTGTCGTTATTTTATGCGACCACACCTCATCAATGGAATGGAATAACCCAAGAGAAGTCACTATTACTTGAGTTTATTGCACAGTTACTTGCCAAATAATTATTGGAGCATATTTATGAGGGTAGATGGAAAAACCATGTAACAAACGCTTATTTGTTGCAAGAATGTCATAACACAAAAATGTTGTTTTTACAGGAGAGTAATAAAATTCAAAAATATGATCTAATCGAGTAACGTATTATAGCAAAAGTGTAGTCACAATGTTTTAAACATTTGAGAGACGGTTCTATCACAACAGTTACTTATAACAACAGAAATTAAACGAAATTATATCATTGAGATTAGAAGAAAACCTTTTGTACCGAGTTAGGCGAGATCTAACGGCAATTATAGAAAATTCAGATGTGAAAATTGACCAGATAATAGAGCGTTTTTTTACAATTTTTCAGTTAAGACGTTCTTGCAGCAAATTAAACATCTAAATTTGCCATCAAAAAATCACAGGTATATTCCATCCAACACAATGAGCAATTTTCACCTCTAGTGGTTAAGAAATAAGCCAAACTTAAAATGACATTTCCCTAATAAAAATGTCATTTTAAGCTCTGCTTATTTTTTAACAAGCGGTGCAAATGGACTAATATAAAAGTTAAGCTTGAGAAAAATAATTTAAACTTATTGCACGAACCATCATGTAAATCATAAGAATAATTTTCATTCAATTGACCTACTCGTTTGCCGGATTTAACACCGCTAGATTATTTTGCAGTGATGTACTAAGAAACTAAATTTATTTTTTACATTAAATTCGTAAATCTTTGTTTTACTACATACTCATTTGAGATAAAATTATAGAACACAACTTCGCAGGGCCGTAACTGACTTCGAAACAGACAAAAAAAAATTGCAATCGGGATTGTATTGTCAAAAAAAAAATAGTTTAAACCTTTCGTGACTTTTGCACAATCCTCGAACACAAAAATGAACAAATAAGAGAATATCTCCACAGAAAGATGTCAATATAATATATGAATATATTTGATAGATAAAATAATAGATAAGTTTTAATTTGTTCTGTTTTAATATCATCATTTTTATCCGGTAAGTTGTTTACAGCAACCATTATCCATCAAATAGCACGAAAACGATGATTTTAACATTGAATATTTATTACAATTACTAGATACGTCAAAGTGATAAATCATTCGAATTTAATCAGAACGATTTTAGTACTCCTTATGGTATTGTTCATAGATATACCGTTTGATTTCATACTCAGCCAGAAAATGTTATTTCTTCAAGTGTCTAAACTCCAGCACCCAATCGTAAAACTATTATTTATTTTTCAGATACTTTAAATGGCAAAAGGGGTTGAATATACTTATATCTTGAAGATAATATGTAATAGACAGTGTTGCCAATACATAAAAAACGATTGATGCAATGCTTTAACATAAAAATAGCAATTTTTGATTGAAAATCGCAACTTTATTGCTAGCATAAAAAAATTAAATATCTGATTTAAAAGCATACAAAAGGATATGGATTAATGGTAATTCGCAAGTAATTTAAAATGTATTAGACTGTTTTGAATATCTAAATGCATTATTTATAAGAGTAAAAAAATTAAAATATCATTTCGTTGTCATGTTGGCTTTGCAGTTTAAAATCACCAAAAAATGCGCTAAAACGTTCTTGATTCTTTGGAGTAACGTAACCACATTTTTGAGACTATGGATACTACAATATGTATGCATAAACCTTCGATTATCGATGTATAAACAGAGTATGAAGACCAACGATATATCTATGAACAAACAATACAACGGCACGAAAAGACTTTTTAAAATAATCATCCAGCCGTTCAATTCAACGTCGCGTAAAACCTGACGCAAATAAAACGCACGGCCTATTTTTTACAGTCGAGAGCCAACGGCCACCATTCCGCTTTGCACAGAACGACCAAATCACATTTAAATGCCAGCTCTACATCAAGAACCGCACGTTCTTTCAATATCTCCAAAGACTTTAGTTCTCTACTCTCATAAAATCACCAACTTATTTCGGAGAGTTATTCTGTTTTGCATTACCCGGATTCTGCGGCCGCGGTATGCTCCTGATGGGTCCCAAAGAAATCATTGTAGTCGACCCAATGTTCGAAAGGTTCGCTGGGTTCCTACTGTTAATGATTGGTATCACGAAAGTACCGTCTGCGCCCTGCGAAGTTAACGGAATGTAGTTGGATACTCCCATCGCGGTCATTTTCTGCATGACGCCGGGCGTTTTGAGATTGATGACGGGTATTCCCAATTCGGCCATACCGCTGGTGGTCTTGTGATACGTTTGTCGATGCTTGTTAAGGCCGGCCGCGTTGGGGTACTGAGCGGGGCACAGATCGCAACGGAACGGCAGGCCCGGTCGCTGTTTTTGGGGTGATGAGGCGGACGGTTGTCCAGCTGAAGGGGAATCGTCGGTTAGGTCTACCGTTGGCAAAGATTCGGTGGATGACTGAAATAAATATAATAAATAAAACATCATTTATGAAGAGACACTTAATGGTAAAAGTCGATTGTTACTTGCGCTACAGATTACAACAAGTCGCTTCGTGTGGAGCAACATTGGAATTGTTCTGTTAGCATTTTTTGATATTGTAAAGGAAAAATTTAAATTTATTTTAATGAGACTTCTCGAGCGCTCCTCATAGAAAAGATATAAAAATAGTCACATCAACAAAATAGAATAGGGCAGTGAGCATGCTCAATGTCCCACAACGCCGGATCCAACAAAATCATATTACCAATTAATTAATGAATTATTAACTCATTTGCCAATTGTCCCTACTTATTATCCCAAATTGGATTTTCTGTACCCTCTAGACTCTAGAGTAACTAGAAATATTAATACATTCTCCCAACCTTTCCATAGAGCAAATTATGGTTCTCATTCTTTTATTTCTAGAGGGGCAAGATCTGCTAATGGAGAAATAATCTCAGAATTTTCTAACCATTTATGTATATGTGAGGAATAGATGTTGATTTTTGTTTTTTAATATGTATATATTTTAAATTAATTATTATTTAGGATTTTATTACTATTTAATGAATGTATTATCTGTAATTGTATTGTTTTAATGGGCCTTGACCTGTAAATAAATAAATACATATATACATTTATATTTGAATAGAAAATGTAATTAAGTAATGAATTCAAACCAAACAAAACGCACTGTGCTTTAACTAAAATGTTTTAGGTATTCATTAATAGAGTAAAATAAAAATCGCAGCACAGTTACTTTTTAAATTTGTATAAAGATTTTTTTTTTAATTTATCTGGTTGTGTTGTAGAGATCTAGATTTAGTAAATTTTTTGGGATTTACTTAACCAACAATGTTTATTTCTAAAATTTGTATTATACTTAACAGTTTGATAGACTCCCCTTGAATAAAAATAAATAAAAAATAATAAAAATAAATAAAAATGAATAAAAATAAATAAAATTGAATAAAAATTAATAAAAATGAACAAAAATGAATAAAATTGGATAAAAATGGATAAAAATTAATAAAAATAAATAAATATAATTAAAAATGAGTAAAAATAAATAAAAATGAATAAATATAAAAAAATGAATAAAAATGAATGAAAATCAATAAAACTAATAAAAATTAATAAAGAAGGAAGTAACGTATTTTTTTTTATATTATTAACACGACTACATGCGAGCAAAGTCGCGGGCAACCTCTAGTTATTAATATTTTCTTTAAGTTTGATGACATAACGCCTCTTAGTTTTTTGTGAAAAACTTATTTAAATTTAGTTAAGGAGAATGATTTTGGCTATGATACCGACATTTGTCTCAAGTTTTGTGCTTGCAATTTGGAAGAATATTACTTTTTCAGTATTTCCTATAAGTTTTTAAGTCGTGAGCTTTTGATTTTATTTTTATAAAAAAAAAATAAAGGTATTTATTTATAGAACAATCCCTAGATACTTCACGGAAAAAATGTGACTAGAACATTTTACTGCAATTTTGTAGCAGTAGACTTGTAGAAAAATACTTTTTGTAGAAAATTTTACTACAATTTATAGTTAAAAACTGTTTATTATTGTAGCAATTGAATTGTCGAATAAAATGCTACAACAATGAATATATTTTACTATTGTTTGTAGAAGTAGAAATTTATTACAATTATCGTAATTATTACTACTAATTTCTGTAAAAATTGGTACAAATATTAATAATTATCTCTACAAAAAATAGTAATTTTCTCTACAAAAAATAGTAATACTTTACATCCCTTCTTATGATAAAAATTCAATTTTGTTGAAAAATATTCCATAATATTGTAGAAATTTTTAATCATGTGAATAAAACAGAATTCTGCTATTGGCCAACGTTTTCTGACATCGACCATAAATGGTCAGACAACAGTAGCCGTTCGCCATGTTCACAAAACAAAGCATGGTACATATATAACACATTATTATATTATAAACACTGATGTTTCGAGAAAATTTTAAAAATAACTTCTATTAGTGATAAGTACATTTATTATTGTTTCTGAATAATTTAACTTTATTTTAATAAAAATAGTTATGGCCAACAATTGAATGATGTGCCAAGTTCGATGATGTTTTTTCATTTTAATTGCAACATACCTACTTTCTCATTTTTGTTAGTTCTACGACGTGGTCATTTAATATCCCAATCAGTGTAAAGGTAATAGATATCTCCGTTTTATGGGTATGAGCAGTTCAATAGGTATTAATTTTTATTATATATTTTTCAGGTGCAGAAAAGCCAACTAAGACTAAAGGAGCTGCTATTACTGTTATTTATTACATAATTTAATTAAGTCTTTGTATCTTTTTTATTAAAACAATAAATTTTTAATATTTTATTAAGGAACATTTTTTCTAGGTTATAATTATAATAATTATGGAATACTACTACAAATTTTATTAAACATTACTACAATTTGTTTGAATTTATACTATTTACTCTGTAAAATTTTCATATTTATTTTCATGAAACGTAATACATTTTTAATATAAATTCATACAATAAATAGTAAAAATTATAACAATTTGTAGAACAATTCTTATGATGCATATGGATATTTTTACTACATATTGTAGATAATAACTCTACAATACATTCTCTAGAAATATTTAGAAATTTTTACTACAAATTGTCCCTGTCCCTCTATATGTACTATTTATTGTTATCCCTGTCCCTATATGTACTATTTATTGTAGAAAAAAAATGTACAATTGTAATAATTTGTTCTACAATTTTTTTTTGTGTTGAACCATTTTTTAATTACCTTCAATTTTTCATTTAGGTAATTTTTGTACGGCCCGATTCAACACCGGTACATATCAGAAGGTGCATTTAAATGTTTTTTAAATGTATAATACATTAATACATTAAAAACTTACTTGACGAATTTTAATTTTGCCGATAAAACAATGCAATTTACTAGAAACTCTGCCGTCGCTCGAAAATATCCTACACCTTATCCCTTCCATACCTCACGCCACACGTCTCTTCTCTCTTGATCTAAAACTGCCTGCGTCACGGAATTTTTATTTAGTCAATGAATAGCTACATCTTCGGTTATCTCTGGACAATACCTTCTAGTCACGTCAAATTAGCATTTTACCTGCAACTTTTTGCGGAGAGATTCGATTGAGATGCGGTTTTCTACAAAATGTTAAGGAAACCGTCTATAATAAAAAGTATATCCAACCTCTGTATGCTCGCAAATTCTTAATTGTTTATGTTATGTTGAGAATGGGGTGTTAATACATTGCGACCTAAAAGATCTATTGTGCCCCCTTCTGTCGCCACAGCACTAAGGAAATGTCTCAATGCCTATAGCGACCCTTCCAATCCTATTTTCTCAAGGAAGTGTAGGATTTGAAGTGGCTTCAAGTTAGGTAAATCTCCCTCTTCTATTTGATATCCTCCTAGATATAGTGCCCTTGGATTCTGGAGTGCTACACTCTAACAAAAATGCTTCAGAGGTTAGATATACCTTTTGTTATAGACGGTTTTCTGAACATTTTGCAGAAAACCGCATCTCAATCGGACCTCTCCGCAAAAAGTTTTCACTTTTTTCATGCTAATTTGACGCGACTATTCAGTTTAGTATCAAAACCTCGACGTCTATTTTTTGTATTTGGAATTTTTTATTTCACATTCCTTTATCACCTACACGTAGTCGTGCAAAACATGGCAAGTCTAGTGCGATTCTAAGCTCAACAAATCAAATTATTTTTTAGTTAAAAAGTTTGATTTTTAAATTTATTAAAACTACTTCGTATTTATGCCTGAAGTCATCTAAATGACCTTGAGGAGTCAAGCTTTGGAGAATCCTTCAAAGACTGGCTTCTTTTGCCAGCAACGATTTAGTCTCAAATTCTTCAACTGTATATTTACTTGCGATTGGGAAATACATATTAAAAAAAGATAAATAAGACATCTAGAGCCGTAACAAAATGGTGAATGCGCCGCGAAAAATTTTCGTCTGCGGCGCTGTGCTTACTGGCCTGCTGTATTTTTATACAATCGCTTCCCCTTCCAAAAATGTCACCGCACGCCACTGGACGTACTTAAAAATGTCCATTTTATATTAAGTCAAAAATAACTCTACTTTGACTTAGGAGGCTTTGATAGTAAGCCATAGATACTTAAGGGCGCCCCGCCCTCAGATGAATAACTAAATTAGATAATATAGATAAAAAAACAACCTGTTGTAACCTGTAGTGCAGCGCAAGTGAAAACACATTTATTTAAAATTATGAAAAACGTATCTAGCTGAGTATAGCACAAGTTGGTGAGAAACGACGTTAACAATGAAATATATCTCTTACCTTAGGTCCATTTCCGTTACTCTTGGCTGCCGGAATAATACTGACGGCACCGTTCAAATTCAACGACGCCGGTAGAGGGGAGGTCGGTTTCTGAGCCGTTTCCGGTTTCTCTTTAGGTTTCGCAGTGGCCGTCACAGTTATACCTCTGGTGGCCAAAATGTTAGCCACGGCTTTGGCGTCCGACTTCTTTGGTTGTTCTACGGGTTTCGGCGGTGGATTTCGTACGCTTAGCGTAATAGAATCGGATAGATGCATAATACTGCTTTCTGGTGGTTCAGATTGACCGCCCTGAAAGGAAATAGTATTTATATTCCTTCAAATGAGCTGCTTCTAATATTCAACATCAGTTCTACATAAATAGTACATGAAAAAAAAAAATCCCTAGCCCACATTTTTTAGTGACAAGAACAACATTCTTCAAATACATCCTGCAATAAATATTTTATGTTTGCTGCTGGGTTTATTCTATAAAATATTCTTTACAATTTACAGGAGAGTCTAAAAACGGAGAACTTTAAACCGGAGAGGAATCTAAACTATAGGAGAACCAGGAATCAATCGAAGAATTTGAAATCAAAGATATTTCAACGAGTAATGGAAGGACAAGTTCACTCTCACTTAACAGATCAACGATTTAACCAAAAACAAAAACTTATTGAAATGGAGTTAAATCTCGTGGAAGGTCTAGAGGTAGAAGTACAAGAACAATATATAGAGGTTCAAGAACAAGAGGTAAAGGTGCAAAAACTATAGGAGATTAGCTCAAAGTTTAAGAGGTAGAGGTACAAGAATCAAAACATAAGAGGCCATAATAACTGGATAAAAAGAAATCAATTTTGGCCAGATTTTCCTTCTTACCTTAATAGAGATGTCTTAATGTCTATTGAGTGTTACACTCGATACTGTAAGAAAATCAGGTGTGCAATACTTAACAATGGAGAGAAAAGATGCTGCTAGATGCAGACAAAAATGATCAGTCAAAAAATGAATCAGATCGAAATTTAATATTTTTTTATATTCTAAATATTTTGTAAAAATAATATTTGTTTTATTATTTGCTATTTAGATCTAAGGCCCACAGATATGTACTTTTTTTGTAAATAAACTACTACACAAAGACGGAAAATCTATTTCTTTCTCCCCATAAACAACTAAAAATTTGAAAGGAATTTCTATTTGTGATATGTTTCGGGTCTAGACGATATTATTAAAAAAAAAAAAATTTAAGCTGCTCTTCAGCGCTAAATATTTAAAAAAATGTAACCATAAATCCCCTTATTATTAATTTATATCAACCCAATTAATGCAAACGATTTTTTCGCTTACCTGCACACTTTCGATTTGGGGCAGCCCCCCGTCGGTGTTCTTCGGCTGCATACAAATCACCTGACAATCGTCGTCGTCTTTGTCGGGCGTCAACATATCGAAACGTTTCTTCTTCGCCTGCATCTGCTGCATTTGCTCGGGATTACGTTTAACAGGTGATGTTAGCGGTCGGACGCCGTTTTGCGGCGTCGACATCCTCGGCCTGACGGATCTGACGGCTGTCATTCCCGTCGCACCGCGAGGACGCACCATCGGTGCTCTGGGTCTCGTAACGGGTTGACGTTGACCTAAAATTTAAGATGGTCTTGTTTTTCATGTTTCTATATACTCATCCAGTTTATCCAATAAAAGTATTAAAGTTGGACGTAAAAACGTCAATTAAAATTTTGACAGAGCCATTGAATAAGTCGTTTAGTGTTAAAACGTTAAGTAGGTATTCTAGTCTAGAAATTCGAAAAAAATAATTCTTTTTTTCTTTAATATTTTTTCGTCATACTGTACTATTATCTTACCATAATATGAGCGAAATTGATATCGAAAAGGTGCATTTAACGGCCGCCGGCCGTTAAATAAAATAACGGCCGCGCACCACCTACAACAATCTAAAGTTGCCTAGCAACCACATCAATATACTATGCAAACATTGTAAGTTTGACAGTACTGTTTCTTGTTGAGTGATTATAGAGCGGAAAAGATCAAAGATGGAAGAAATTTTCGAAAACGATATTCCCTCCGATGTACTGGAAGAAGCAGCTGCGGCAACCAAAAATTTATTTCCGAGTACAACCCAACAAAGATATCAGCAGGAATACGACAACTTCGTGAAGTGGCGTCAGAATAAAAACATACATAGTGTAAGTGAAGAAGTACTGCTAGCTTACGCAAAAGGAATGTCTGAAACGTATTCTCCTACATCACTGTGGACAAAAATATCAATGCTGAAACTTGCGTTAAGAATACATGAAAACATTGACATATCAAGGTAAATTACTATACTATCCGTCAACATTGAACTAATTATTTACTCATCGAAATTATGTTTGTTTGTAGATTCGGTAAACTATTCTTGTTCCTGAGGCGCAAAAATGAAGGTTATACCCCAAAGAAAGCCAAGGTTCTATCGGAAAATGATATACTTAAATTTTTGCTGGACGCGGATGATCATACCTGGCTACTGGAAAAGGTTGTGTTAGTGCTCGGTATTCTAGGAGCTTGCAGGAGAAGTGAACTTACGTCTCTCACCATTAACAGTTTCGAAGATACAGAGAAAAACATCCTCGTATCACTAAAAAATACTAAGAATAAAAAAGACAGAAATTTTCTTATCCCAAAAACAGGACTTCCATTTGATGCATATGGTTTATACAAGAAATACAGTAATCTGCGTCCTCCTAGTTTCAAAAATCAGAGATTTTTCGTTGGTTATAGGAATGGCAAATGTGTGCAGCAAGTCGTCGGCATACATACCATCGGAAGTGTTCCTAAGAAAATTGCCACCTTTTTAAAACTTGAAAATCCCGAACTTTATACAGGACATTCATTTCGTAGAACATCAGCAACTATGCTCGTAGAAAATGGTGGTGACTTACTGTCATTAAAAGAACTGGGAGGATGGGAATCATCAACGGTGGCGGAAACTTACATAGAAAAATCGGTTTCTAAAAGAATGAAAATAACAAAACAACTTTTTCCAAATAATCCGGAGAATATTGCATCTTCAAGTACTGCAAATAGTTCACATTCTTCAGAAACATCTTCCTCTGTAAAATCTAAATATCCTTGGGACGGGTTGCAGATTTCAAATAACACCAATTGCGAATTCAATTTCCACATCCATTACAATAAGGAATAAATTGTTTTATTCCGTACCTATCATCTTTTAAGAGTTACGTTTAATAAAATTTGTTCTTAAATTAGGTGTTTTGTTTTTGTAGCAGTATGACGAAAAATCTTGAACGAAACACGGCCGATAACAGCAAATAACGGCCTTGGCTGTTATTTGCTATTTATCGGCCTTATAACGTTAATAACTATTAAAGTATCGACCTTTAAGAATATGAGCATAATGCAAATTTTTGAAATTAGGATTATTTTAATAGTTACAGCTGTTTTTGTAACGCGCCGATGAAACCGGTACTATTATCTGGTACTAGCTGTCAGAAATTTTGAACGCGATTTTCTCGAAACTACTTTTTTCGACCTGGTTGACATGATATCTCAAGTTCTAATTAATCGATTTACTAAAAATGTTGGTGAAATTCTTTGTATATCTGGGACCTTGAATTTTAAACATTTATTTTACTATTTTTTAAAAATACCTAAAGTCCAAAAAACATTTTAAATCGTCGCCATTTTGCGAATATTTTTATATATTTTTTAAAATGTCAGGGCCATCACTTCACAATCTTATTCTTAAAATATTACTAAAAATTATGTAAAAAAATGCGATACTAAAAATGTAATTTTTTTTAATCTATGCTGAAAAATGTCTGCAATTTAGGCTTCTAGACCAGATTACCCCCTTAAAAAAAGTGCAAAATAATTTAACTTTGTCCAAAAATAGCAGGGAAACCTATTGCAAAAAAACAAATTAGCGAAAAATAAAATTTGTTAAAAATCATTCAAAACATAATTCTGCTTAAAAAATACTAGAAAACTATTAATAAAAAACCCATTTTACAACACTTCTAGAACAAATGCATCCAAAAAGAAAAAAGGGATAAAAAAAATCTCGATTTTTCGAGTGGCTATATCTTTGGTAAAAATGGTCGTACGTGAATGAAAAAAAAAAAAAGCAATTTGAAGCTTGAAGCGTCTAGATTATGGATCTTGCGATAAAAAATTTTTCCAACCAATAATCAGCACAAAATCCTGATGAATAGCGTTGATAGAAAAACGCGATCCTTCAATTTCTTCAAAAATTCACTCGCATGAAACGGCTTGATGGACCAGGTTGACATTTTGTAGGGCTTTCGGGGAAACAATGGCCTGTAAGATGCACACTCAACATTATTCATTTTCCCAATATTATCAATGTGGCACATGATTTTCTAAAAAACCTCAAAAATACCTGTTTTCCGAAATTCTTCAAAGTCATGCTAGGGATAGAAAAAAAAAATTTCTCGTGAAAGAACATGCCAGAACCTTCTAGAGAATGAATCGAAGTTTCCGAAACCTCCCTTCCATTTTCTGAGCGGCCATTTGTTCCTGGGATATTGACGAGAGAAGAGGAAATGAAGCATTTTCGTTCATTTTCTGATAACTCAGCAAGGAAGGGTCATCTCAATGCCAACAAAAATAGGAATTGAAGCTAACTACCACCTATAAAATGCATATAGTGGTTATGTGGAGAAAATTTTTTTAAGTCTGTACACTAAAAATTAAAAAAAAAAAATTTCAAAAATTTTCTATCCATGATATTCATCAAGATTTTGTGCTAATTGTTGGTTGGAAATTTTTTTTATCGCAAGATCCATAAACTAGACACTTCAAGCTTCAAATTGCTTTTTATTTTCATTCACGTACGACCATTTTTACCAAAGATACAGCCACTCGAAAAATCGCAAAAAATCGAGATTTTTTTTGATCCCTTAATTTTTCCACTAGTGTAGAAAATTTAAAAAAAGCTGAAATTTGAGATAAAAAAATAAAATGTGTTAAATACCATTTAAAATAAGTAATTTAAATTTTTAAAAGCACATTTTACTGTGAAACTAGAACAATACGAACCAGAAAACCATTGAATTACCATTTCAAATGTTAAAATGCTAAATAAGCACAAAATTAATGAAATTCATCCAAAAATAACCAGAAAATTAGAAATTAGCAAAAAATTAAGAAAATACAAATTAAAATGTGGTAAATTTCGAAACAGGTAATTCTAATAATATATGTCTGAATGACATGAACCTAAAATTATTCTCAGTCTACATATCTCTTAAAGTTTATCAGGCTACGACCAAATTTTAATTAACGTTCCTGCAACTAGATGTTAATATTTTAAATTCAAATCATTAAAATCGCTGAAGTTTTACCTTCATGAATTAATTATAAAGAAATTGAGTCAAACTTCACATGAACAAATTCATGAATTTCTTCAAGTTCAAATACACTATTTAAACAGGAAAATAATAAGACTATCACTACAGTAATACACTATAAGATATTTTTCAACATCTGGCAACAGCCCTTCAATATTACAAATTCGAGCGAGAATGAATATACCCAGTTGGACTGAAAACGACGATAACTTTTTTATTTTCGACTTTTAGAGAAAATATTATTCTTCATAAAAGTTTGTACTTGTTTCAAAAATAATACTAATTCAAACAGAAATTGAATATTTCTTTGCTTTCGTGAAATAACGACAAAATGTATATAGTGCCGTGTTAATTCAAATGGCTCTATCTGTTTAATACTTATACGTGACAAAAATCGATTTTTTAAGAAAAATCACTTACGCCCAAATTTCTAATCATTAAATATCGGGTTTTATAGAAGATGTATCCATAAAAGTTATAGAGATGAGCAAAAAATTCATTGTTGTCATGCGTAGTGGTCATATATTTATGTCAAGGAAAATTGCAGTTACGGCCATTTGAATTAACACGGCAGAATAAATGTATAATAATTAGTTTGTTTTTATCTATTGCATAACAAATTTTATTAAGCCTACGTACACACACTGGGGTGTGATTTACCCAAGCAAAGTTTTGTACAAATAGCATTTCTTTATCTTCAAGTTTGGAAGTAATATGGCTGGTGTAAATTCATTTAGTTTCCACCACTACATGTACACAATATGGTTGATGTCATTAGGTAAGGGAGGTTCAATCTATACCAATCAAAAGAATAGGTAGGGTATCTTATGCCCCAGTGTGGTTGCTATAACAGTTTAGTATTGTTTGTTTTTTTTTGGCGGTAGGATCTTGAAGTAGTGGTATACATTTTTAAATTACATATGGTATTGTGTTGACACGGTATTTTATTTTTACATAAAATTGCTTTCCACCTTTCACCCTTTGAGCCAGATACAATTAGAACACTTTTTTCTTGAATCTTGCAATGAAGAAAATGAATTATTTTGAGGTAAAAATTTTGATAAGGATTTCAATTGTTGAAATTCAACCTGATGCCGAAAATTAAGCAAATTAGCGAAGAGAAAACTGAAGAAAGACCTCCAAAGGCTAAGAGGTTATCAATAATATGCTGCCTTTGAGAATCCATATCAGATGCATTTTTAACATCTCATTACATTTACGTATACTGAATCCCGTGATCAAAGATTTACTACATCTCAGATGCATCCGATGTGGATTCTCAAACGCGGCAATAAACTGAAAAAATGGATAGAAGTGCAGCTCAGATTTACCCGAAAATCTTGAAAGATGTCAAAGATGAAATTTGGTTACCCATTTTGTATATAGTTTAACTAAATGAATGTTTCTTAAGATTATACTTAATATTTTCATTTGTAACCCGAAGTTTGTAGTACAAATTGTCTTTTACCTTTTTAAGTCAGTAAAATAGTATTTGGGTAAAGTTGTAGGAAAGGAATGTACTTAACGCGCATCCTGGCCGCGCATATGTAAACATCATTATATTTATCGCGTAGTTGTTTATATTTATTTATTTGTTATTTTACTTAGATATTATTTATTAATAATATAAAAGTAGCAATCTGATAATGTTGTACAGTTATATTGTCATAAAACCATAGATAAATTAATTATCTATGCGTAAAACCAATTACCTTTCCTGCAACTTTACCAATTTTGCTTTTGAATTTCAATTATTATGTATAAATAAGCTTGGGGTGGCGCATTCCAGTGTTTGTGGCTTGTAAAAAAAAGTGTGGGAAGGAAGGGTTAAGTCCATATTCAGTTTATCCTTTTATATTCTTGTTTTCGACTAGTTTATGACCTAATGAATTTAAAATAATACCTATAAATACTAATATACATTTCTTTCCAGAACCTGCTGGCTGATATCCCCTGAGCACAGCAGACACATGACACATGACACATTTAGGTAAACGTTTCTTCATAATCTCCATTCGTCCATCCTGGATACATTTTCAAAAACACTTTGAGAACAATATTTGCATTTGTATTTTCGTCTTTTTGGTAATAATTAAATTATAAAATACTTCTATAGTTTTGGATTTTTTGGTCGTTTTTACGTTGTTTGTATAAGATTTTAACAAAAAATAATAATTTTAATTCGAAAACAGAAAACTCCGTTAAAAATATAAAAGTCATAAGTCATTTCTTCTTTTTTTTAAAACTTAGTGGTGCCTTTGTTTTGTAATCAATTCAGCAAATTATTTAAATTTCAAGCATGATCAATGCAAGGTTCCGTCGTTCGTCCCACTGGTGTAGGAATGAACTACACCAACGGACACTAAACCTTTCCTTCGGCCCGGTGTAAAAAAAGGAGGAAGTAAACTAGGGTAAATAAGGTGGTGTAACGGACACCAACAGCGAACGAAAAAACCTACATTTTTCCATTTTTGAAAAGTTTATTTTGGACAATTCCAGTTCGTAAAGTAGTAAGGTGGCCTCTTCCTGTTGACAATGAGTGAGAGTAATACGTCACAGAAATACACAGCGAGATGATAGTATTCTTCAGGGCTGGTATTCATACATTAGTTTTTAAAAAAATATGTTTTGTTATTGTTTAGTGATGGTTGTATTTTTATTTTTGGACTATCTTACAGTGAAATTTTTTATAATATTGGTGGTAATATTTTTTTGCAGATAAGCGCCAAAAATAGTTATTAAAAGATTTCTATAAAATTTCAAATGAATTACTTTTTATTTGAATTGTAAAAAAAGGTTTGTTACAAAGTTTTTAGTAAAAATGAGTTACAAATAATTTTTAAGAGGAAAACAAGGGGTTGTTGGACTTAAGAAGAATTTCTAAAGCTTTCTCTATAAAATATTTGAGAAATAATCCCTTTCTGGGGATTTTAACTTTAGAAAAGTGGGCTACTAAAATATAAATAAAAATTCTTTATTTTGTTTTTCAAAATACCTAGTCTCATGCCTTGAAGTAAAAATATTGGTAATCATTTTTTTACTGGATTCAAGTGCTGAAATTTGATTTTAAGCACTTGGTGAGGCAATATGGCTGCGCGCAATGTGACCCGCTTTTGTTCTTATTTACATAGGTGAGCAATCTATATATAACTCATGATATAACTATATGTATAGGTACATCATTGGTAAATTAATCCTGAGAAAATGGCGGCGCAAACGACGCAGATCTGTTGTATGGAACTTGCGAAAAATGTGAGTCACAATCTTCATCAGGTAGCCATTTTGCCATTCTAATACCTAGTAACACCAAAAGTCATATTTTACAGGAGAGGCCAAAAACTGCAGCGTGCTTAATACAAAGTTCGTATAGAGGCAATATAAAATTTGATAAAAAAAAATAAATTTTTGGAAAAATGAGGGTTACGATGGGGTATTAGATGGATACGTTTTGTTTGTCTAAATACATTTATAAATATATTCCTAAAGTAGATACCGTGCATCAAGTATAATCGTGTAGTCACCATTTCTCTTTTCTTTTTCACGATAAAATTAACATAACATCTATTTCCGTTTACATTTTTCGATAGTTTTTAAAAAAACTTAAAACACAAAAAACGTTCATGTCAAATTCAATGACAGAATGGTTTCTTTTTGTTAAAAGTTAACTGTCGTTAGAATCAAAATTACGTCACACTAACATGACGTACAATGGCGTATTGTTGCATTGATAGTCTTATTGTTTTCAAAATGTATGGTAAAAGCACAAGATTCCAGACAGCCAGCGTCCACTTTGTCTGATACAGGAACCTATGGAACGTTTATCTTGTTTGATAAATAATAGTTTTTAGAGGTTATAAACTGAAATAAATTTAAATTAATAATATTATACTATAAATCCCTACAACTTATATTCCCATGGCAAAATAACAGTGACAGAATCTAAAGAAGAAAACACACAACAAGACGAAGCAACGACTTCTCGTAGGGTGGCGGCTTCGCCGTCACTAGAAAATATCAACCCATGCCTGGCTACGCCAACCGACATAGACTCCAATGGCCTGGACACAGCCAAAATTAAAACGGAAGAACTTTAATAATAATTATTCATCCCTTTTGTCACAATTCACAATAATTATTCTGCGGCATGATTATAATTAATAATAATAATAATAATTATAAGTATCACATACAAATAAAAAATAATGAATAGGGTTAGGATAAGTATAAACTATGAAGACTATAGTACGAACCAAAACAAACTGACATCAAGACTATCAGCAGCACCAAGTTCAATACGGGCATGCTGGAAGCTCGGGAGACAAAGTGAACGGTGGCCCTCGTAGACTATAATGGTAAAAGCTACGCTTTGTTAGAAGAGTGCGCTGAGCAAAACTCACAGTCTGCTAAGCACTGAGCTGAAATCTAACAATGTTAATACTATGGAAATGTCAGCACAGTTGGACAGACAGCAGTGTTACGTTGGCTGACTACATCAATATCAATTTGAGTTTGATTTGGATGCACTTGTTCAGCTGAGCATATAATCAAATAGACAAGTGAAATGAGGTTAAGATAATTTGTGTTATAATTAAAATGATAAAGTGTCAAACTTTTCTTCTGATGGACAAAATATTAAATGATATGGTAAAGGAGCATCTCGCATTTTATAAAGTGAAAACCAGAAGCTGCAAAGACAGTATAATTAAGTCGAACGCGACAGATTCTGCCGTACGCATACGTCAAGTGTTGCGCACTTTCCTAACAAAACGTAGATTTATCCGAACTAATCTACCTTGTTTAAATAGTGTAATGTAATAGTGTAATAGTCCTTGGCAAAATAGAACTTGTTCTATTTATCGTGAAGAACTTGAAGATATTCATGAATTTATTCACGGAAAATATGGCTTTAGATATCTCAATTTCTTCATGAAGAAATTGTCATATTCACATGGCGCATAAGCGATGGGTTAAAAGTTAAGAATTAAAATACGATGTGTAATAATCAAATTTTTAATCAAAATTACTCACCCATTGGCGGCCTAGGACCGTTCGGCATCCGGTTTCCAGGCGGCGGTTGTCTAGGAGGAGGCTGTCTTGGAGGCATCGGTTGCCTATAAGGCGTTCCCTGCTGTTGCATCTGCTGGTTCATATTTTGAGGTTGTGATGACGGCGGCATTTGGTTTTGATTCATTTGAGATTGATTCATGGGCGGTTGATTCATCTGCGGTTGGTTCATAGGCGGTTGGCCCATGGGCGTCAACTGCGGTTGCGGTGGTGGAGGCATGTGTTGAGGCGGATAGCCTGGAGGCCCGGGAGGGTAGTACGGTGGTCTGTAAGGTTGCCTATTAAAGAAAATTGATTAAATGAGATTTTTTTACTTTTTGTCATACAAAATTTCGTCGAATTTATATTTTATGACAAAATATGGCAAATTTATATCACCAATTTATATGACAAATTTATATAACAAATTTATATATTTATGTGACAAACTAATAAAATAAATTTATAAGATAAATAAACTTAACAACAATTTAACCATTCACAATTTAACAAGACAAATTGATATGATAAATTTGTAAGAAAAATTGATACGATAAATTTATATGTCAAATTTATGACAGATTTATTAATTCATAAAAATAATGAATACACTTACTGGTATTGATACGGATGATGCATCGGTTGTTGTGGGTACGGATACATTGGTGGAGGTTGATAAGCAGGTTGCGGTGGACCTGATGGAAACTGCTGTATGTTGATAAGAACATTCTGCTGGTGCATCCCGGACGAAGAAGAAGATTGTTGCAATCTAGACACTTGCTGTGCCAATGCTTGCATTGGCAGGCCGGTCAGACTGTCCAAGGGATTAGAAGAGTTCTGGTTTTGCGGATTGTACACTTGCTGTAAAAATAAATGTATTTATTGCATACATGTTAATGGGGACATTTTATTATTTAATTTGTTTAACGATATTGCTTCCAATTTTAGACTAATAGGACTTGGATTTTTCTGTCTGGCATAGACATCTTTGTCAGTTATAAGCAAGTAGGGATAGATTGGGCCCAGAACAAAGCGGCCTCTTAGATATTGTATTCCCCTGCTTTTCCCGTATCCAGATACTATTTTTGGAATAGTCCTTTGCCTTTGGTTAGTTTTACTAAGTTCCCTACCAAGTGTTACTGGGGCGTTCTTTCCGATTCTAGGCCGAACAGGGCAAAAACGCCGCCTAGAAAGAGCTTCGCATTTAAAGATAACATGCATGCCTAGTAATCACGTGATGGGATCATTGTTTAATCCCATCACACGAAGATGTTTAAGTAAGCAGTGTCCCATTAGCAATCCTACAACGGTGGATAGATAAAGCCTTGCCAGCTGTAGTACCTCAGCAGCCATACGTGGGTTTGGTCCCCTTAGCATGAGCTTACTGATTCTGTGCCCTCGCTTATCTGTTGCCCGTTCATTTGGCGTTTTGTGGTTATCGACCTGTTCACTGCCTGTCAAGTAGAGCTTTTGCTTATCCCAAATGATTCGGGTCCTGTGAATTGTAGTTCTGATTTCTCTCTAGCGAGTTCATCAGCTTTTTCATTTCCTTGTTGGTGTACTTCTGAGTGCTCCTATAATATAAAGGCACGCCAGCCTGTACTCCTGAGAGGGTATTGAGGGATGTTTTCTAGTATACTTTTTACTACCAAACAACCACTGCATAAATTCTCTCTACAATGTGAGACAATTTACATTTGTTGGACGCTTTTTGTAAGTGTGTGTTGGTTCCAAGTAAGAAAGGATTAGATCCAGATATTTTACTTGGTTCGTTCTTTTTAGCCTTTCTCCAAATAGGATTGGAGTTTCTAAGATATCCAACCTTTTTTTCCGAGTAAAGGTTATGAGTTGTGCCTTGTCAAATAAGTTTTCCCTAACGCACCACATTTCTGTCAGCCTTACAGCTCTTTGCATGAGTTCAAAGACTGTGGTTTGGCGTTTCCCTCGGATGATGATGAGACATAGACATTGTATGACATAGACATACAATGAGAGTAACAAAACAGTATTTGGACCAAGATGCGGCCCTAGAAAAGGTCTATCAAATGCACTGTTGCCAATTATATCAATTTACATTGTAACCACTGCCAGATAGGGAAAATAAGACTGTATAAAATTGTAATCTAATCTCAAGCATTTCTCGAGGAATTTACATAACACATTTACATTCGGGTGGTGCAAGTATTGACTAGAGATGGAATGAATTCAAATTTTATAGAAGTAGAAGAAATCGAGGATAAAACACTGTTAAACTCGACACTTTTGGGATGAAATAAAATGGGATTATTTTAAATTATTTTTTTTATCGCAAATAATAAATGTATCAATGTTCAATATTAAGATGACCTAAGTAAAAGAGATATAATAAATAAGTAATCGAGTTAAACAGTTCTGCAACACTTACCATTGCTCCTCGATTCCTGTCTTCCAACCTATCCAGCGAAATAAATTCGCTATCGCTGGTGTGAAATCCCAAATCCTTCGCCCGTTCGTTGTTGTTGAACAGAGACAAAATATTGTTGTCGTCGGTATCTGGTAACTTGAGTGGATCTTCCATGTTCGAAGAGGAGGACCACAGGTTGGATGCGTCCTGAGTTGGTTCTGGAAAAAAAGGATCTCCTGCTAAACAACAGGGTTGGGATTCTGTTATAATTTGCGAAAATGTTTATAGTATATTTTTTTTATATAATTATCACTCAAAAACAAATAGTGAATGAAAATGATTCAATGAAGAAAAACATGTTCACAACCATTTATACAATTTAAATAATGTTCAAAGGGAAACTAAAATTTAACCCACTTTAGTGAATGATTATAATAAGTTAGTGTTAAATTTAAAAAAGGTACTGATGGTTAGTTTTCTGACTTCCACAGTGCGTTTAAACCGTTGCCAATGCAGATTTTCATAAATTCGCTAGCTACTGGGGTCGGCGGTACCACATCGCGCCCGTTGCAACTTCCAAAAGAAAACAGGAACACTTGAATTTCGATCAGCGAAACGCAAGCAAATAGGCATTAGTGCTTGTCAAAGACATTATTTATGTTGTTCCTTAATTAATTAAGATTTTAAACATTGTTTAAGAGATATTTAATAAAACATTATAAAACCATGTTAACACGTGTTTTGTGAAGTGGTTATACAGGGTGATAAATCATTTAAATATAATATATAAAATTAAATATAAAAAAAATGCATGTGGATCGACTTTATGGCACACACTGTACTACTCAATTATGTATAGGATAGACAACGACGAAAAACTACTAGTCTAATCCATTCATTCATAATTAGACCCTTTATTTATTGCAATATTAAACCCACTACTTCTAAGAGTAATGGCCTATCTATACCAATACATGATCAAAGATTATAGCTTTAGAGACTTTAGTCCCTCATCTGACTACAAAAGTGTCGTATTTTTTGCTTGGTATTTGCGGTTGACTACAGGGGACGGGGAAGGATGAAAAACATATACTATGTCCTGGAGGTAGAAGCTGTCGTGTAACCTGTCAAATTCAAAACAATATTGCTTATCGAAGGATTTATTCGTTTTTTTGTTGACAATGAAATAATTTGCTTTTATACGTTTGTAACAATAAAAAAATCTCTTTGCATGCATGCATGTCTCCGGTTTTGCAGGAAATGCAGGAAAATCACTACACTTACACCGAAAGTAGCAAGTAGATTTTTTTATTGTTATAGACGCCCAGAAGAATATTTTATTGCCAGCAAAAAACGAAAAAATTTATCGATAAGCAAGCTTACTTTGAATTTGACAGGTTACACGACAGCTCTCACTTCCGGGACATATTATTATTATTTTTATAAATGGAAAAAAAATAGATTGGAACTTGAATTGTCAAAATATCCTAGGAAATTTGAATTCTTTTAAAAAGATTGATATTCCCCGCTAAATTTTTCGAATCGTTCCAAATTGTCGGGATAGTAGTAAAGTCTAGTGCTGCGTTTGAGAATCCACATCGGATGCATTTTTTACATCTCGAGCGTTTTTTTATCCACATCGGACACATCTGTCCCATTACATTTACGTATACTGAATCACGTGATCAAAGATTTTTTACATCTCAGATGCATCCGATGTGGATTCTCAAACGAAGCATAGGTATGTTGCAAAAAGCACGGGTACCCTAAGGGTATGGTCCGATATTAACCGACTACTAACCGCAAGTAACCAGGATTTTTTGACAGCGGTTTCTGAAAAAAAAAAAACTAATTTCGGATCTCGGATTCCGAAGCAGAAGCGGATGATTAAAACGCACCTATTAAAAATATTGCTCCAAGATGTAGGCAACACGTAATAAGGGTTCAAAATGGCGGAGTTTTCTATCTCCTTTTAAAAGGCACTCAGAAAGCTGCGGAGTGCGACCATTCTCCGTATAGTAAAAGAAAATCAAAGTATGTGCAGGTAACCCTGTCCCTAATTTAACCGATTTTTCAGGAATGTCTTGCAAGTTTAAGACCGAGTAACCGATATTTCGGACCATACTCTATAAGTACACACAGCTGTCATCAACAGTGTCAACTATCAAGTTTATAACCTCAACATTTTTAATACGCGCATATCTAAATACCTACAATTTATCAATAAGATATTTAATAAGTACTTTCATAATCTAAATCTAATCACAAATTTCTAAAAATGAATCATGACATCTGCGGAATACATTCCAAAAACGCCTAAAATCAAACTATAATTGTTAGAATTCCAGAGTACATAGTACTCTTAATGTTTTAAAATAATAATTTTGAGATGTTTAATTAAAAATCATTTGTAAGACATAATATCAGAAAATACCTGATTTAAAATAAAGTCTCATTTCTCGGCGCTTATCGTCGAGGGCTCTCGTCGCGCGTCTGAAGTGTCTCAAATCGAGACAGTCATAACCGGAACATTTCCCAAAAGTGTGCCTTGACATTAGGTACAGGTTTATTCATAGATAAAATAATATATATGGGTTTGTTACCAGTTTGGATGTTTCGAATAAGTTCAACTGCATTTCTGCGCTTGTGTACTAATGGGAAAAGTCACCACAAAAACCACAACCAACCAGTATATAAAAAGTTACAACACATAAAAAGATTGTCCGATCCACACATAAAAGTATCCTCTTATAAATTAGTTAGGTATGTTTGTTTCAAATAGTTTATAATTATCATAAAAATATTTGATTAGTTAAAAAAAAACGTTATGACTTATGACGTTACTTATCTTGAAATGTCATTCTAACTATGTAGCAAAATCAGCTTTTTTATTCTGATGAAAAAAACTTATTGACGATTAAAATTTTCCCATCCTGAGTAAGCATGCTTGGCTTGGCTATTTATTGTTTTATTTATCTACATTACAGTTTCTATCTAAACAATCAATTCCAGTATTCTAGTTCCAGTCATCCGGTACGTTCAGTGTTGCCAGATGGTTTTTTAATTATTCAGTTTTGGGCATTTGAAAAAATCAGTAGAAAATAATTTTTATTCAAAAATAAGTTTAAATCCATAAAAAATCGAAAGTTTTTATTGGAAAATTCAACTTTAAATATTTTTCAAAAAAAGTTTAATTTGCTTTAAGTTAATAAAAGTAAAAAATAACAAAAAAACAACATAAACATAAAATAAAAGATTATGTGAAAAACTATATTAAATAAAGGGCATCATTTTCAGTTTATATAGGTATATTTACTATTTTTTTTTTTATAAAAATAAAGGACCTTTTATCACATATATCGCTACATTATATTTAAATTCTGGGAAACTCTACTATACAATAAAAACACGCTACCCTCAGTGAGACGAGTATAAAAACAACTGTTTGTCATAAGTGATCCATGAAATCAGGAAAAACAACTGCAAAATTCTCATTATCTTTCATGATAGGGAATGCCACCTGTACGGGTTTTAAACAATTTGTCCGGTATCCGGTCGCATGATGAAAATGTCCGGAAATATCTGGATAACTTTTTTTATAAGCTCAAGGACCTGGTGTATAAAATTATAAGCTGAGGACCTTTTTGTTAGAAGCTCTCGCTAGAAGGACCTGGTTCATAAAATTATAAGCTCAGAAATTTCACAAAGGTCCAGGATTTGAAAAAAGAAATGGTGACAATGCCAGCTCTCACACAACACTTCTATCAATTGATAATTTTAAAGAGAAAAACATCAACAAACATCATTAGTGTCCCATTGCCCGAATTCACCTGATTTACAACCAAACTGCTCCTTTATCTTTGTCGAATGTCATACAAAATGCATGAACAGCGATTTTCATCACCTCAAAAAGGAATTGAAGCCTTCAAAATGGGAAAATGATTTGAAATTTTGTTCGAACGCATCTGTAACGTGTGGAGGGTGGGTTGACAACTGCACTCAGGCCTCACTAGGAACGTTGTGCATCCTCCTAAATTGGTTAACTCGTCAGACAGCCTACAGATTTAATGGATTCTGACAATCCCATTCTATGGATATGCTTCCGTACTTGGCAATGGCCAGTGATAATGCCTATGATTAGGCGCAGATTCTGTATAGTCATAATTAAGTATTTTTACTGTGGTTTTGTTGGGATAACTTAAAAGCTCCCTGGCAACTCTGTACCTTTTTGGTAAATCCCATATTTTCTTAAATTTTACAAGGGAATGTTCTTTAATTAGGTTTGTCACTACCGATGTTATAAGTCCAATGGTAGGGTCAGATCCAAAATGTAATTGATTGGCTACTTTCTTGGCGGAGATGACCTTTTTGATGAATATGTCATAGGCCAAATAGTACTAACCTACGTTCATTCGTGGTCTGTCCAGGGTGCATAGTGCTTATCTGCTATCTGTATAGAGGGGCATATTCCTTTCAATGATATTGTTTCAAATTTCTTTTGATGTAATGAAAATCCATGTGAGCTCGGTTTGAACTACACTGGCACTATTGCCCACATCCCATATTATGTTTAGGTTTATAGATCTGGAGAATATTATTCTACATCCTGAGCCTTGTTTCGTTTTAGAAGAGTGTGACCATATTTATATTGGCCCAATGATGGACTGGACGTTGAACACGAATACAACATTGATGATGAACTTTGGCGAGCTGAAGAGATTTTTTTTGTTGCTCCCAAAGATAAAAATATAAAAACAAGGTCATGTAGAGAACCAGGGGACCTTCTTTTTTTTAACTGGCCTTTTGATGAAAAAATACAGAGCTTTGCTGGACAAATGCGGCATTTTGCTGTACAAGATCAAATGCTGGACAGATTTTGGAAATGCTGTACGTATATGGTCACCCTATTTTAGTACCATCGATGAGGATTTAAATCGTACCAGCCACTTCCAGTTCTTCTATTTGATCCTTTATAACTTTATATGGCTTATGCGAAAGATATATCTCAATGCAAATTCATAATGATTTCCAGTTTTTTTCGCCAAAAAGGAATGTCTCGCTTCATCAGAGCCTACATCTAGGTTCTATTCGAGTCCAACCGTGTAGAATAATTGTGCCATTGTCATCAGAGTAACCTCCATTGATGTACTCGTAAATGTCAATGAGAATGAGAATAAAAATAACTCTCATATGGTTCAGGTTGATGTGACAATAAAATTAGTAATGAAAATGTGTTTTCATTATTTTTCTAAAAACCAAATAACCCTCGTATCCCAGAATCCGCACTCTGCAGAGAGTGCGAATAAGAAGATGAGACCAACGAGCATATATTTACGATTGCCCGACGCTCTCATTTATTAGATTTGTGTTCGGCGAGTATCGGCTAACACCGACCGATATAAGAGAAGCACCGCAACTACATAACATCTGTAGGCTGGCTCACGAGCTAGGATGTGCCTATCATCTCAGGAGGATGCACAATGGGCATAATGAGGCCTAAGTGATGTAGCGGTAACCCACCCTCCACACGTTACAGATACAGATAACCCTCGTATATCTTTGCGTTGTTGTCTATGACTCATTTTATAGAATAAACACAAAAACAAAATAAGTCGAAAAAAATTAAAAGAGTTAAATAAATATATACTTTTTTTTATAAATTTAAAGAAACAAAGTAAAATCAGTAGATTAGCAGGACAAATAAGTATGTATATCAGTATATGTGAAATCAGTAGATCTAGTGAAAAAGTAGTAGATCTGGCAACACTGAGTACGTTAGTCAATCTTGAATGGTCAAAAGGTCAAATGTCAAATGAACAACCGCCCAAACGGAACAGATCAAACTAGACAAACTAACAAACAAAACTAACCTTAAAAAACTAAATATTGCAAGTTGAAAACTTCAAAAATCCTCAAAACAAAATTCGTTCATTATGTTATGCGTACAATCTGCATTGTTAAAGTATAAATGTAGAAAACACATGTTTGGTGAAATTCTTGTTTCCACAATAACCCTAACCGGTAAGTAAGACCATTTCTACATAACATAACTCTAAATAACTTACTGAAGCTGGGATCTCCATTGGGATTGTCGTCGGTAATCTCGGTTATTGTCAACGATGTCGGCTCTTTAAGCAACCCGGTGGTTTTGATCCTGATTTTGGGGTACTCCACCGTCGGTTCCGGGGGTGGAGTGGGTTCGGCACCGGGTATGCTTCCATAGTCTGACGTGCCGCTTTCGCTGTTGGAATTACCGGTAGAAATGGTATCCGTATTTTTCTCGGAGGACGGACAACCGCTGTCGCTCGCACTTGGAGATTCTGAAAAGTAACAATTCTTTCTTTTATCTCGTTTTAAATAAATAATAATCGACATGTCTGTTACACTCAGTGGTTTCCCTACTGAAATTGATTGATGTACTCGTTAATTTGCTAATAATATCGTTGCTTGGTAATTATATATTTTGACATAAAATCACATTTCAACGACCTGTCAAACAATAGCTGTCAGTAGGAAGGGCTCGTATATACCTATAAGAGGGTTGCGACATAGCCTTCCATCTTGGACGCTATTTTTATTCGAAATTTCGCAAAGCCTGCTAATTTATGAAAAATCTATAAAAGCGGTATTTTTAAAAATAATATTTTCATTGTGTTAGACATAAAATATTTCAATTTAATCCATTATTTATGATTTCACGTGTTGTAGATAGAATACCTCGTGTGTCGCCACTCCTTAGATATACCAACCCTTTTCACCCACAATTCATTTGTTTGGAATGCCTAAGGCACAGATACCTAGACAAGAAGTGCATTAGTCCAGGATCCGTAAGTAAGGTCAACCTTCACCCATCTGTTTACCGGATGAAAGTTTTTTTTTATTATTATTAAACAAAATATGTTTTTAAATATACCGCAAATGGGTTGCCTAAGAAAATACGGTCACGGCCATTTTTTACTTTCCTCTCTGTGTACAGATAAGGAAAGTATAGAAATCATGATAAAAGTTGTTTATGATGTCATTCTCTATTATTTTGACTCTATACATGATTTTCCTAAAATGGACCTAATTTGAGATATTTTATGAAAAGTGCAAATTTCGAAAACGGATGAAGAGAAAAACACCAAATTTTGAACTTAAGCTTTAATCTATCCTGCGATGAGTTGATTAAAGTTTGGGCACAGTCAAAGCATTTGGGGAATACTTTACAGGCTGTCGTTTTTTTTTTACTTTAAGAAAATAAATAGTCTGGACCGAATTTTCTTAGGCAACCCATTTGCGGTATATTGAAAAACATATTTTATATAATAAAAAAAACTTATCCGGTAAACAGATGGGTGAAGGTCGACCTTATTTCGGATCTTAGACTACATCTTAATATGCTTATCTGAGTACTAGACGAAAAACCTAATAATACACTGGGAAACATGATATAAAATCAATCAAATGATATAATACTTATAGCAGGGGTAAAAGTTGAAAAGGCTTTTGCCAGATCTCCCACTTTATACACATAAATTGACAGGTTTGCGGCGGATCTAACCGAAGTGGACGCGATACATACAAAATTATTTTATAGATGTTAATAACAATTTCGAGTAAATAGTTTAATACATTGTGAATAGCTGTTGAAATTTTGTAAAATTATGATTTGAATATTATAATACATGTTTAATAATTATTTATAGTCCGTAAATACATGCGATTGTCTGGTTCCGCCGGTAACAATTTAAAATCACTTATTCTATGAAACGACACATGCAGGTAAACATTACTGCGAAATTCTCGAAGCCGTACGGCCGACGTGGTTTGACGTTTACCCCCTCTCTACCTACCAAAAGCCTTTCCAACTTCTACTTGTGCTATACATCCCACTTCGCTTCTAAATTTTTAATTCTGTCGAATTCCGGTCAAAATATTTTTCTGCCTGCTTCTACCTAGATAAGGATGAGTTAGCAACAATTTGGGGCGACTACGAACTGTCAGGCGATACCTAGATATGTATAGTAAACATCTGACAAAAATATTTAGAACAGTATTGAAAAGTTCCATCTACATACAAAGAATCTACATTACACAAAAAGTGAAGATTTGAGAAACAACTAAAAATTGCGGAATTATTTTTCGTAGATAATAAAAAGTTTTCACCTCTATTTGTTTTTAAATTTAAGTTCCCTAACACTTGCAGAACTTCTTCCTGTGACTTGGGCAATGGTGATGTTGATTTTTTTCTTGCAGCATAGATATTTCTTCGAATACAAGAAATGTCTTTCGTCGTTAGCGGTAAATTGCTGAAATTTTCCTTCCTCAATTCCTTGTGGACAATCTTTAAAGGTCTTTCACATATATCATCTACAGCTTTCCTCTTTGTAGAATTACTAAAAATTTGTCGCTCAACGTTAATATCTGGAGCATGATTATGTTACACTGATGCTTTTTCAAGAATTACGTGATTTTCATCACCTTCCGTTGTGTACATTTTTGTTGACACCCTTTTTTGATGCATCGCCATCTAACTTTTCCATCTCTGGCGACATGGGCCTTTGAATATTTATATTCATTAATTATTAATAAAAGTTCCTTTGACTAAACATCGTCGTTGGATTCGCCATTTAAAAGTTGAAACACTAACAGCACGAAACAAATACTAACAGACAAAACTATACCGTAATAATTACAATAACTGAAAATATTCATCTTCTTTTAAATCTATCCCTACTCTTTCAACTATAATCAAATTTGGTTTCCCTAAATACCGACCAATAAGAAATATTTAAATATATTCATTTGTTTTGAAATTTTTCCCTCTCTTGCAACCATAAATGTGGTTTTCCCAAATCTATTAGACAAATTAGAAATATTTGTTTTTGAATTTCCGGTCATTAAAACTTAATCCCCAACTTTCTTGCAGGTGGGGCAGTTAGTATTTGCCTAAGGGTAGGTATACTCGGACAAAATATTGGAGAAGGTGAGTCATATGCATGATCAACACTGTTGTCTATGAATGAAAATTCCGACAGAGTTAGCATAGGCGACGTATCAAATACCAAATAATTATTTATTAGGTACCTATTTGTTAGTAAACTTTATTAAATTTGTTTGTCAACATCTTTATTTAAACAAATATGATGCGTTAAATATACGTTTTTGATAGTTTTCAAGAAATGAATATATTTATTCCCTAATGACTTTGTTATCTGTGTTTAATGGTCTTAAAATGTGTTTCAAGTAAATAAACGACAGACGAGTTACATATTGAATATTGTCAGCACATGCACAAAGACAGTTGAAAATTAACTTTCGACGAAGTTAGATTTGTATCGCTTTAACTATTTACGATAATTATTTTATATTTTATAAACACTTTTTTGTATAGGTGCTCTTTTCTGATATACGGTGTTCATGTTTGTGTCTTACAATTTGGTAGTGGTAGTGCATATTCGAGGAGTTATATTTATTGTGTAGTATATTAGGTAGGTACTTTAAAAGTTTATTAAATAGTAAAATATTGGTGTCTTTATAAATTTAATAAAAACAATTTAATAGTAGAATTATATTGTTACAATAGTAATGGATTCAGAGGCGGGTCCAAGTGAAACCCAATTACGTCGGCGAAAGCCCTTATCAAAGGATGAAAAGAACATTATATGGAAAGTGTATGATAGGCTGAAACAGACACTTCCTACAAATGAAGCTTTAAACCGCAGTTCTTTTTTAACTGGAGTATCTACGAAAAGTCAAAAAAAGACTCCTTAGAAGCCCCTAAAACGCATACCCGTGGTCGAAAATTGTTGAAATTGGTCGATAACCAAAAACAAATCATTTGAAGAACTGTACATGCTTTTTTTTTTCGAAACAAAGCCCCAACACTTAAAGTTGTTCTTACGAAATTAAGAGAAAACGAAGAAATTCCAATAATGAGCCGTGAAATTTTATGGTGCCTAAAATTTCGGTTTGTCAAACGGGTAGGAAATCAATTTTAATTGAGAGGTCAGATATAGTGTCCCGGCGACGGCGTTATTTACGAAATATTAAAGAGTTTAGAGCCGCTAAAAAAAAGATATACTATCTTGATGAAACGTGGAAGAATGCTGGACACACGGTATCTAAGATATGGCAAGATACTTCTGTAACTAGTCATCGCCAAGCTTTTATAGAAGGATTATCTACAGGTTTGAAAGCACCATCAGGTAAAGAACAGCGCCTAATTGTTACCCATATCGGAAGTGACAGTGGATTTTTGGAAAATAGCGCTTTTGTGTTTATATCGAAAAAAACAGGAGACTACCACGAGGACATGAATGCGGAATACTTTGAAAAATGGTTTACTGAAGTATTACAGCGTGTAGAACGAAATTCAGTTATTGTACTAAATAACGCTTCTTATCACAGTCGACGAGTTGAACGCATTTCGATAATGTCCACTAGGAAAGCGGATATGCAGACCTGGCTGCGGGATAAAGCAATAACATTTACTGAGGAGATGCTTAAAGTGGAATTAGTGGACCTAATAAAGGAACACCGCCATAAATATATTCAATATGTTGTCGACACAATGGCTCGTGATCGTGGTATTACGGTATTAAGACTTCCCCCTTACCACTGCGAATACAATCCTATTGAACTAATTTGGGCGCAAGTGAAAGGGTTTGTAGCTCGAGAAAATAAAACTTTTAAAATAGCCGATTTTCAAAGTTTATTAAAAACCGGTATAGAACGTATAAAACCTGAAGATTGGCAGAATGCTATTTCCCATGTAATTAAGGAAGAAAATAATATGTGGCGCTTGGACGGTATGATCAAAACGATAGTTGAACCTTTAATCATAACTTTAAGTTCCGACGATAAAGACGATTCCAGTGATAGTTCTGCAGAATCAATGGAGTACGAAACTTTACATATTTTTATAATAAACAAAATACAATTATAAACATAGATGAATTATTATAACAAAAATAGATAACCAACCTACTTCTATCTAGTGATATTCACAAATACCCATTTAATTGATATTGTACCTGACTAATGTGATATACACGACAAAATTTCGATAGTGATTTAAAAGTTAAAAACAGTGGTAAAAAATCCAAATTAAAAGTTAAAATTAAGCCCAAGTGTTAGTTACATGTGAATGGTTATGAACAGCAAATCAATTTGTAAAAAGGTAAACTAGATCTCAAATAAATGACGTGAATTTAAATCGTACCTAAATAATTTATTCGAGAAAAAACTAAAAACAAACTAATCAATAGTACGGTGGCAAACACATCATTTCGACATGAGTTTTGACGACTTGTTTGAGAATATGAAATCATTCATT